GACATTATGATGGCCACTGAAACCCTGCCAGTTGCCGTGTCAGGCTCGGATTGCTTTGGGATGATGACATCGAAGACTGGAAACGTTACGACAGCAAGATGGACGAGAACGGCAATGTAGAAGTCGTCGAGGTTCCTGCCTTCAAGGGCGGTGCACCTTCTGAGGCAATGGTGGCATACACGGCGTGGAAGCGTTCTTCTCAGGTGGGTACCTTCTGCTGCATCATGCCATTATCTATCTCATTGGCACGCAAAGAAAAAGGGCGACCAAGAGCCAGAGTGACAGGCACCCCCCCAGCGGTGGATGGCGGTAGGCACTAGTTCATTGGGATGCAGCCGGGTGCTCATGTGTTCGTATGTAGGAGGTCAAAGCGCGTGGCCGTGCATACGAAGTGGAGGCGCGAGGCGTCAAGGGGACTTGAGACGTAGGCGTTCAGGCCATGTGTCGTCTATTTTATGATGTTGCTGCTTCAACTCGGGCTCCCATACATGTCCTCTCGTCGTATCGTAAATTCTCACTTGGATTGCTGAGACACCGTCCTCATGCCTAGACACGCAGCAGAGGTACTTCAGTACTGTTTCAAATTGGACAACGAATAAATATATTCTGGACGCGCACATAGTCAGTGGTCTAGTACCATATGACACGCTGATCGAACCACAGTAGGTAGTGCACAACAAACAGATATCTGTAGCATATGATGCAGAGGGGAACGTCGAGTGCGTATCGTTCACTTTGTCAGTAGGGTCCTTGGTGTTGGCGATTGCGTCCCGGCGCCGGATGCTCCGTTGTGATGGCTAGCATGTAGTGAAGTGACCAATGGTCGCGGGGGACGTATATGCTAGGCGGCTACGCATCTTGCTGGGTCGCTTGAGATGTCGGGCAGCGCTGCATGGACCGCGACATACGGGGCACATCCCCGTGGACCTTCATCGTGGGTGGACATCGGTTAGACGAATGGAAGGTAAGTACGCAAGTCATGCCTCCGAGTCTGCAAGAAGCGTCAGCAATTCCAATGGATGTCCCGTCACCAGAGCTCCACGCAAGAGTCTGCACTGATTTCGGCCAGGGAAGCGGGGCACTGCGTCTTGGTTCTCCCCAAGAGTGGCCCACCCTCGGTCGAGGCGGTGAGGTAGAAGCGACGATGAGGTCGATCGTTCAGCATGGAGACGAAGACTAATGGCCATGTTATCGTCAAATGACTTGTCGCAGATTGTCTGGTCTCCTGATGCGCGACCCAATGACGAAGGTCGACCGGATATGCCGTGTCGTCCCGGCGGTGCCACAGGCATAGGTCTCACGGCTGCGGAGCGGGATCGACCACGTCGAGCGAGAGCATTTCGCGGCGCACGCATACCCTGGGCATCCAGGGATGCCTATATGCCCACGCTGACTTGGACCATTCCTGAACAATCGAGTGACCATGAGATGAATCGATACTGCAAACGCATGACGCGCCGACACACGTACCTTGACATAGCCTTGGTGAGATGAGGGTAAGTGGCTGGAGAACCAAATCCTCAGGCCGACTGCGGACGAACGTCAAGGGAGAGTCACACAGAATGTATGCTAGGAATCTCGTAGAGAAGAGCTCCCTCTTGACAAGGGCTGTGACGCAGGGAACCGACGACATGGCCGAACGTCCACATCTCATTTGTCGTCCACGAGAGGCACAACAGGCCCTCGTACAGGATGCCAAAGCCTTCAGCTTCCCGCAAGACAGCGACCACATTAAACAATCATCATCAGAACGATATCAGTATATGCATGACCACTGGACTACTGACGGTAAAAATTGCCACAAGGCTGGCCGCGGAACGGTGTGCTGCACCTGGACGCACCGGCTAACAGAGAGATGTCGAAGGTGAATGCTGTGTCGTGGTGGCGCGGCAGGCACGAGGAGCGCGGCAGCGCATAACACGCTATCACAGCGCTACCGCTCGCAGAATTGGTGATACGTGGTGGGCGTGCAGGATGGCCGTGGGGACGTGGGGCCGCTGGAGTACTGGGGCACTCCGGGGGCGTGTTGAATCATATCACATGGCTCTACTGTCCTAGCAAGATCCGAGGCGAGCGAGGGAAACCCGTAGCGTTTACTCCAGTCCCGCGCTCTAGTATCCGTAGTCCTGTTATGCAAGGTTTCAAGTCGGCGCACCTCCTGTTCGTTGAAGGACACGCAGTCTGCTTGTTATACTGGTGCACCGGACGAGGACAGGAGCACGTCCACACCTATTCCCTACTAAAAGCATATCAGTCGTGCGCGCTGATAACACTGTATTTCGCTTACTCCTTCCTAGTCGTCTACTTGAACCCTCGATCCTAGATGCAGTTTACGGAAAGCCTGTTGGCCGAACAGACCGACTGACTGCGGATCTCGCTACACGTCGTGTAAGCTTCAAAAACTACTGCCGGTTAACAGAGCTCCTGCATAGGCCTATATAATATGGATATCAATGCACCCGGGAGGTGAAATAAGGAACATGGAGGTGCGCACATGTAGTAGTGGGCCTAGGATGCGCGTTCGCCTGCAAAGGTATGACTCCACCTCCTGACCGACTTTGCCAGGGATACGACCATGACGCGACAGAAGGATACAGCGCGTGTGCCGAGGCCTCCGATACTGGTGTAGCAGAGAGCAGGGCGTCCGGGAGCGAAAACGTCGAGGGCGTAGAGACAGAGGCTACACGAGAAGAACGCCAGGACTGCCAGATGACCTACACCCCGGAACACGCACGATAGTTCGCTCGCGCTCCCTCTTCCCCATGCTACCTGACAGCCCGTGACCTTTACTCCCTCCGCTACGCACTACACGCGCATGTATTATCCGGCATAGGGCAAGGCCCTCAAGCGGATACAAAACTGGATTTAAAAAAATTAAACAAATTAAAAAAACGCCAGGACTGTCGCAAGTCTCCATCGACATTATTCGCGTCGAGATTCGCAAGGCAGAGGCGCTGTCGTTGCCGCAGCTCCGGGCCGACCCCGCTCTTCCGCGATCTGATCGCGAGCTGTGTGACGTCACGTTTCCGCCCATGGAAACGTCCTGCGCCCTCATCATGCTCAGGCTCTGCAACGTCCGGTTCCCCAGATCCGCCCATCTTTCCAAGCCGCGTATGTCATCCGGCTTCCTACTTCGACCACAAACTGGGCTGCAACAGGCTGCAACAAACAGATCTGAGAATCGACCGGAGAGGAATCAAGTATAGATCTGTCAGACGGGCCGCATGGCCCCACTGCTTGCGTTCGTTCGTTAACGTTCCTGGTGTGAGCTGCAGCGCCAGTGATGAGCTCATGGGGCTTCGAGGTGCACCGACGATACCCGCAGGCGTCTGTATCTCGCCCAAATTTCGCACTGCTGGATCAAGACGAACTGCCCCTCTCATGGCGACGGGAATTTCTGCTTCATCGCATTTGCTTATTCTCGTACAATCTACGTCGGGGCTTCTCCTCAGCGAGGTTCTCAGGCATGCTGGGCTGCCTTTAGATTATTCTACGCTCCATAATATTGGTGAGTCGATGACGCTTTACCTGAAAACCCTCGTGGATCTCCTATCCTCATTTTGGATGAGCATCACTGAGAATACGAATCTCACGTCCTCGAGTCTGTGTACCACCCTTTGGTCAGAGCGGAGGCGCGGTACGTGCCAATCCAAATACATGTCCCGCATTAAGCTCGAGTTTACTTATTCAAGAGGGTATGGTTGAGAGCTGGTCTTCCACGGCTAGACTTCGTGCTTTCACTACCTGTCTTCAACAGTATCAGGAGCTTGGAAACACCATTGAGACTATCACTAATACATTACCGGAAACATTTGCAGGACGCCAACTTGATCAAAGTGCTCTGGTAGTCGTCGGTGGTTTTTGGGCCTTGGCGAGCACAACGTCCCTGTGTATGTATCGAAAGAGCCGGCCATTGGGATCTGCAGGATTAATCCGCCTTACTACAGGTCACAGGGTACCCGACGCCTATCACATTACGACAAATATTGACGCCCTTCTTTCAGTGGAACGTCTTGAGACCACGAAAGACATGTCCAGAAACGCGACGACACAGAGCCGTGTGAACGGTATTAATTTAGTCATTCAGGCTCCTTCTCTTAAGAGCCGAATACAGTCCACAGCAGCCGCAGACGTTAACAGAGACTATGCGGTCAATTTCACCGCCGACCCTGGTGGATGGGACGTTGGAGCATTGCCTATCGATTATACCGAAACCTAACCCAGAGGAGCGCTGGCTACTCCAGTCGAGTTCAGCTCAACGACGACAACGGTATGTCCGCCGACTTGCCTCATTTATATGTGGCCGAATCCTCACGTTTTAATGTCGTTTGCACGTAGACGATATTGGGGACATTGACAACGCTCCTATTGAGCAAGCACGAAGCGAACGCAGCCTCGCCGTCGTCTTGAGTCCGGGCGTCGCCCTCTTGCAAGTGTGTCGCTTTACACGCACTCCGACACTGGCATGTCCCCGCCCCCTATTTCCATCTCATCCCTACGGCTTCGGCTGCAGATTCGGACGATTCAGTCCTTGTAGCGTTTGCACGACAATGTCGCCGCATGCTGATCATCACAACACTCGATGACTAACTCACCGCTGTAATATCTTCGTCCCCCCTCATGACCCCTGCTCACCTGAGGCGGTCAGGCTTCTTATCCGAAGGGCACCGCTCAGGACCCTCAGGCGCCAGCCCGCTTGTGGTCCTTCGGATTTGTTCGCCTAGTCGTTCGCAAGCGCCTTAGACACGCAAGGACGGTCTGTGGTCCGCAGTGTGGTCCGACGGGTTGTTCTCCATCTTGCTGAACATATACTTTTCGCCGCCAGCGCGCGCTAATGCAACGAGATTTTTTGGATGCGCATCCCTGAGCCTGTCAGGCGAAGGTCGCCAGACGCCGCGCATCGCTGCACATCGTGACCCAGGGCAACTGCTGCAATGCGCTCTTTCTGAGTCGCACGGTGTAAAGTGCGCGCGATCCGCGGCCAAACTGTCCTGCAGCAGGCGGAGGCATCCCTGGTCGAGCATCAAAATTTGCCTGATTCTGGGCGCAATGCGTGCATCATGGAGATATTCACACGCGATACTTCGTTTCCAGGCAAGAGGACCCTGGGACGAATTGAAGGCGGTTCATAATGCACGAAGATAAACTCTATTGAGGATCAGAAGAGGAACGTGCTCGCGATAAGGCTATGCGGAGGCAGATACCTATGGTCGATATGTATGAGCGGTGCCGCGTCAGACGGCGTCAGAAGGACAGCGACGAAAGAAGGCAGTGCGCAGCTTGACCATCATCCAATTATCGAGATTTGCTGTGCGAAGTGCAAACAGAGACCGTAATATGTTTCCTTGTAGCATCGCCGCATGCGTTATTTTAGCTGAGAGTGATATATTTTCGACATGGCCGCGCTGATACTTGCCGGGGTGCACCTTCATTGCTTCCAGTGCTGCACGTATGGATATCATTGTATGGACACGAGTTCCCTGTCATAGTGATTGCAATTGAGGCCGTCTGGTCAAGAATGCGCGGAGACGCCATGAAGCAGCCGTGTGGCTACATAGAAGTGTTCTATCTTGCAGATGGGAAAGTAGTGGCCTGATACACGTGCGAAGGCCCACGAGAGGCGTCAATGTCTTGAATCCAATGTCTCTGACTTTCGCCGTATTGGGTGCGAAGTTGAATGTGCGCGAGAACCACGGGACATATACCATCGAGCTCCACAGCTCTTTCCCAATTTATAATAGGGCGATGCAGGAGCCACGATACATATACTGGTAGCCTGCGGGACAGGACCACAGCGCACCTCCTCTGTGATCCCAGTCTTGTCTCTTGACCGTCCCAGATCCCCCTGCGCCTGAGATAACGATCAAGCGGAGCCTTCGATTACTCTCAAGGCGAGGATGCCGCGGGCATCTAAAAAGCGAACTCGGAGGAAGCCTGTCAGAATCCTCGTGGTAAGGTGATATGTCAGACTCATGCCATTCAGGACTGAGACAGAATATAGCATAGCAAAGGACCTTCCTTGCCTGCGGAAATCTGGCTGCAAGTCTTCGACGAGCTTGCGCAGGGGGGCGACTATGACGCAATAGCAACATGCGTCGACGTGTGCAGGGTATTCGCGAAGTGGAGTGAGCGATACATTGATGGAAGGTCGTCCTATTTCACGCTCAGGAGCGAGACAGACGTTGGACGTGCCGCGAAAGAAGTTGCAACGAAGGGGCTGATGGCTTGGCGAAGAGTGGGTGAGGTCTCTATAGAGGGAGATGATACAAAGGCGATCCCGCACGTAGCATCGTTCGCGTCGACGTTCGCAGCTGGCACGTGGGTCCGCGTCGTGAAGTTGACCATCGAGAAGGCGTCGTGGCCGTCGTCGCTCCGGGCCGCCGATGCCGCCGTCTTCCGGGATTTATCCCGCTGTGCCGCGATCACCCGCCTCACCCTGAATGACGTTACGTTTCCATCTATCGTCACGTTTGGCGCCCTCGTCTCGGCTCTGCAAGGTCTCGAAACCCTCAGCCTCCGCGATGTCAAGTTCACCGGATCATCGTTCCTTCGCACACTTGCCAATTTCCGCCTTCTTCCACAGCCCAAGAGCCTGCAGCAAATCCACTTGGGCCCTGAGGCCTGACAACTGGGACAAGCCAGAATTCACTCGTACTGCGTGGCCGTGCTACACGGAACTCCTTGATTTTATGACGGCCGTGAGCAACCCTTGTGGCAAATCCCCTTGCGTATATCCGTGGGGCTCGGTCGGCCGCTTGCAACTCGATGAATCTGTCTGGTGGAGATTCTCCTCCTTCTCCATCGCTCGGCTCTTGCATGCGTTTCCATCACTTGTGTCCCTCAAGTTTGGAAGCGCAAAAGACATGTTTACGAACGCACATGGCATTCCTAGGGACGTGAGGATTACAGGTGTCCCTGCGTATCCCAGGCTGAAACCAATCAACATCGTCGTGGAATATAGGACTTCCGGGCGGCCGCAGCATGTTGCCAATATTGTCCGTTCGTTGATCAAGATGGACTATCCCCTCAAAATCACAGAGATCATGACTCCGATATATCTCAGTCGCGATGTCACTGATACGGTGGTCGTCATCGCTACGAATGAATTGATCAAGCAGGCGGGACCGTCACTCAAGTATCTTGATTTTTCTCTCAAGCTCCGTGTAGTTCCTACACCGTCATGCAGCGATAGGGGCGGATTTCGTTCAGACCCATGTGAGCATCTTACTGTGATCTTGCAGTGTCAAGCATTTCTCATACTACTTGTAGACCGCCTACCCAATTTCCTTGAAAGAACATACCTCTTGTCAAGTCCACCCCCTTACCCCAAGGCGTTCTGGATCTGTGCGTGCAAGAGTTTGTCTCATGTCACATCGACATGCGTCTCTTCCGTCGACATATGTATCAATTGGTTCTCATGGGATGATCGAGGAGAGTTGAACAATGTCTTTACCCAGTTGGACGCCGTGCTTTCAATTCCTGTCTTCGACAGCCTCGTGCACGTTACCATACGTGTAAGATTCGATGAGCCTGACCTGTCTTTACAAGAGATAGAGATGGTAGAGTGGGCATATTGGACGAAGGCATGCTTGCTTAGTCTCGATAAACGGGGAATTCTAGGGTGTGTATCGATTCTCCCATGCGTTATTGAAAACAATGTAGTCCATATTGCTGATGCATTCTTCTATAGGATTGAAGTATGTGAAGAGCGCCTAACGCCCCATGTTAGGCTCGGATTGGTTTGGGATCGTGGCATCAAAGACTGGAAACATTATGATAGCAAGGTGGGCAAAAATGGAAATGTAAAAATCATCGAGATTCCTGCTTTCGAGGGCGGTGCACCTTCTGAGGCAATAGCGGCGCACACAGCGTGGAAGCGTTCTGATCAGGTGGGTACCTTCTGCTACATCATGCCGTTATCTATTTCATCGGCATGCACCCGAAGGGTCACCGGCGATCGATCCTAACTGAAGAAATGGCGGCGCAACGGCATGGATACATTCTTCTCAAGTGGGTGCCTTCCGCTGCATCAGGCCATTGTCTATCTCACTCTAATACAGCTAAAGGACGACCAGCGATTGATCCTAGAGTCAGTTCATTGCGATGCAGCCGGATGCTCGTGCGCTCGTGCGTAGGAGACCACAACGCGCGGCCTTGCACACAAAGTGGATGGGCGAGGCGTCAGCGGCACTTGCGACGTAGGTGTTCAGGCCAGGTGCCGTCAGTTTTGTGATATTGCTGCTTCGCTCAGACTCCCACACACGTCCTCCCGCCGTGTCGTGAATTCTCCCTTGGACCTCTGAGACACTGTCCTCATAGTTGGACACGCAGCCGAGGCACTTTGTGCTGTTTCGAATTGCACAACGAATAAATATATATTCTCGGACGCGCACTTCAGTCAGCGGTCTAATACGATATGATATGCTAGTCGGACCACAGTGTAGTGAGCAACAAACGAATGTCTATAGCATATAAAAGGGAAACGTCGGTCTTGTCAGCTGGTGAGGAGGCGCCTCGACCAAGACCTTAGCAATGTCCTCACCGTGTCAAGACGCCGGCTTTACGATAGACTAGAGGGCGTAGCGTGACTGGAGGATGTCCGTTAGATCGGCGGGCCGGGCAAAGATCGGAGAACGCGCCCTCTCGGTCCTCTGCAGAATACTGCCAGGTGAGCTTGTTTTTGTGCACTTACCATTCGCCGCCTTGACCAGCGGTTGTATGACTCTGGATACGATTTGCGTAATATGCCAGCGGGCGAACGCCGGCGGTCAAGGGAGGATCACGACGGTCGCTTGAGCGCATTCGTAATGCCGTTGCGCTTCCCGACTCACCACCCTCTCCCTCTGCACTCTGAATGTATCTATGCGAGCGCCCTGTCTCGCTGCACGTCGCAAACGTGAGCGCTTGCTTCCAGTTGAGACTCCAGAGTGATATGATTAGCTCGTTCAGAGATCACAAGGAACGTGGAGGCGCGCACCCGCAGTGATAATGTCCACCAATCTTCTGCCACCCGCGGATTCTACAAGACCCGCGTGGACAGGATAGTCTGGACGTACGATGTGGAAATCTTATATGGCATACCATCGGGTTAGCATGGCATAGAACCGGTGAGCAGATGGTATATATCGCGCAGGTATTGCATATGCCATGACAACGATCTCTCGCGTAGACGCCTGGACTGGGGTTTCAACGTCGATGAAGGGCCCGATGGCTGCGTCGCACAAGAACAAGTCATTATAGACATCCTGTCTCCAACGCGTGATTGGCGTCGAGCGTCGAGCGCTCCTTTGATTTGCGGCAACCTGGAAAGAGCCGCTCAGATCCACTCGGAATAATAGACGGTGGAAAATTGGGAGCAGGAACCGTGTTACTGTACCTGAAAGTCGCCTCCGTGGGTCAGCCTGCACAGATGACTCTGATGCTGCATCCTTGGTCCACACCGGACACAACATGAGATGAACATGGTTACCCGCTTTCGCGGTTCGTGGATGTGGGCTGAGATCAGTGCTTGTTTTGAAGTCTTAAGACGTATCGGACTAATACGAGCGGCCGTCACTCACATACGGGCGAAGACGCAGATGAGCATTTAATATCGCTGACTACAGCCGAGATCGTGAAGTCAGAGAGGTTCAGGGGGCAGGAACACGTAGCGGGCCGCCGCATGGTACCTCCGGCGCGCCCGGGGAGTGTAGACATTGATTGGGAGGACTAGCTATCCCGGTATGACCGAAGTAGTTACAATCCCGTCGGTAAGTACCCTGAAATTCAATTTGCGTTATCTGCTCATGTCAGTACATCCACTAGTGACCTGTTTGAGGATAGCGCACCTGCATTAGCTATGGCGAAGGCTATCTCCCGCCTCGTTCAGCCCAAACCTCACTGCCTCTTGCGTAGACCGATGGTCGGGGCTTCTAACACAACATGGGACGCTTCAAGGTGAGTTCACCAGAGACCTTGCAGCGTGCTTCCGGCACCAGTAGAGGATGGCCAAGGGCAGGCAAAACACAGCAGGACGTGTCGATGTTATGAGAGAAGAGGGCGTTGTGGCGGGCGTCTGGCCGTGGATGCCGCCCGTCTCGATCACTTTGTTTGTCCTCATATATCGATGATGACACCCTCCCAACGATCGTTTGAGCGTTGTACTTCACGCCTCCTCTATGCTCTCCCGCCTCTCGAACATTTCGGCCTCAAACACCGGCAGGCATGGGCGCGTGTCCATAGCACGCATTTTCTGCTCCAACCGCACATGAAGCATCACTCAATACCTAAGCTGGCGCCTCCTGCATGCACGTACATCTGCGATAGCCCAGCTTCCGCTCTGTTCATAATTCTGGAAGCAGCTTGGGGAAGCATGTCGGGCGACAACCGGCGGACGCCTCGTCCCGCCGCACGTTGTGTGTATCTGAACAAGTACCACACGAGTTAGTGGAAATTGTACAAGCTCTGAATATAAGGAGATGGATGCACTCGGGTGATGAACAAGGAATACCGAGATGCACACCTCTCACCTTGGGAGAGCATCTGCAGGATATAGCAGCCGACGGCTTGAGATGCGTGCCTGCCCGTGGAATTTGGTCGGTTGGACGGAGAAATATGACCACAACACGATAGGAAGATGCAGCGTAGCATGTCAGGGCTTCCGATATCGGTGTAGTTGACAGGTACAGGTGAGCATGGCATTCAAAAATGGAAAAGCTGTTGAGCGTATCAAGGCAGACAGCCGCTACAGGAAAGAGGTTGTATGATGTACAACGACAGCTGTCACGTCGTATGCCTGATAACATCATCTCCCCTCACCGTCTCGGCCATTCCAAGGCTGGCTACGCTCGCTCCTCAGACGGAGGACGTTCACATGTCTGGCGGGTTGCATTATTATTACCGCATGAAACCACCGAACCCGAGAGTGCCATGCCACAACGCCGCAGCCACAGATAACACGTCCTCACAGATTGGTGCCGCGCGGCGGGCTTGTGATCGCACACCTGCATTTTTGAAGCGAGTAGGCCGATGTACGAGGAGAAATGGGCCGAATATTCGGGTGGTCTGCGGCGCCCACGGAGTATCTTGCTTATTTGTGACTGTACGTGTCCCAAACACGTTAAAACGTCTGTACAGCGTAAACTCCGGGGGCGATGCAGCCCGCTCCCTAGCTGTGCATGTCAGCATAACACGCATATATGATACAATTCGCATGTCGACTCATGGATCATCACGACGTCCGCTAGACGCTCACCACGTTGGGAGATCAGCTCCAAAACTTCCAAGCAGGGTGCAGCACGACCAGGGGACATCATTTGCCCTAACAAGCCGAGCGAGGATGGGGGATCGCGCTCTCCCGGGACCCTCAGGATCCCGCGAGGCGAGTTGGAGTATCGTGTGCCACTGAGAGGCACTGAATCATAAGCGTCGGGCATTCGTGTGATCCGAATATGGATTTTGTTTGAAATTAGAAAGTCGATGGAGGAACTTGGGGATGCACACCTGCAGTGTACATGCGAGGCGCAGCCATTGTGTGATTCCGCGGGAAGTCGGAGCCGAGTAGAACATCTTCCGGTCGACTGCCCGACGCGTCGACGACGAGCCGAGCCTGCGTAAGAGCATATCTTCGTGGCATTGGCACTCTTATATCCGGATTGCGATCATGGAAACTTCTGAGCAAACATAGCAGATGTTTGAACCAAAGTGATAAATATATTGTGCAGTGAGTGGTCAGACGAGCAGCGTGTTCACATCGAGGCCGTGTGGACCCCTGCGCCGTGACAGAACTGTGGAGCTTTCGGGGTCGAGGCAGCGTACGCCGTGCAGTTCGTATCCAAAAGAGGCCCTGTCGTGCATATCACATGCTTTATCTGCTCGTGGTGTTCGCAGCATGCGCAGTTCGCCTTTGCCTGCAGTGCAGACACCTACCTATCTTGCCTGATGTTCCGAGAAAGTAACTGAGGCTTGACGCGAGGGATCCTCATGGCGGCTGCGGCAGAGGGCGTGCGGTTGATGAGGCGCTTAGAGATGGAAAGCTGTGCTTTCATGTGGAAGCAACCACATCAGCCATACGTGTATTCTCGAGCGGTGCAGGGGGGCTCCGATCTCTACAATGCAGGTATCGGAGAATGTGAAACTCACTGAATATGTGTTGACGCTACGCGGGGCACAACAGCCTCATTCGTATCCAGAACATCGGAGGGAAGTTTAGAAGGATCCATGCCGAACGCAGGTTTCGTGCAATTCTGTCCAGATAGGTAGTGGAGTTACTGTACTTATTTCAAGCCTGTTTAAATATCACCGCATACATACACAAGGAGTCCAGTCGCACATCGCACCACATCTCGCCTCACAGTCACAACCGAGCATCCGACCTGTAAGTCCTCCTAGGCAGCGCAGAGAACGGAGAGCTTGTCTTATTGAAGTATGAACAGCTTTCGATGGAAGACAGCGAGGAACATGCAACAGGGATGGTATCTCTGCGGTGGGAAGACCGGAATATGCCCGGCATCTTGGTGAGCACGAATCCACAGGTTCCAGTGTCGTGCCTGCTAACCAGACAGCATGCAGATCAGTCAAGGACCTTCCTTGCCTTTGGAACTCTGGATGTACGTCTTGGGCGATGTTGCGGAGGAACAAAACCCCGATGCAATAGCAAGATGCGCGAGGGTCTGCCGATTCTTCCAGCACATGTACAAGAAGCGTTTAGAGACGTACCAGAAGCGTTTACAGACCAGACTGACGTTCAGAAGCGAAGAAGACGTGGAGCGCTTCGAAACAGACACTGCAGCGATGGAGATCGGGGGCTGGAGAGGACCGATATTCGTCGCCATCGAGGGAGAAGAGGAGTCGAAAGCGATTCCACACGTGGCCACGTTTGCGTCCAGATTTGCAGGCAGATGGACTCGGATCGACGCGCTGGACATCAACGCGGCGTCGTGGCCGTCGTCGCTGCGGGCCGCCAATGCCGCCGTCTTCCGGGATTTATCCCGCTTTGCCTCGATCACCGCACTCACCTTGTATGGCGTCACATTTCCATCCATCGTCACGTTTGGCGCCCTCGCCTCTGCTCTGCCGGGCCTCGAAGAGCTATTTCTCAAGAATGTCAAGTTCACCAGACCCTCATTTCCATTCGACCCTCAGACACTTTCCAATTTTCGCCTGCTGCCACCAATGAGGAACCTGCGGGTTATCAGCCTGGGCGACGTGTTCGCCAGCTCCTGGTTTAAGCTCGATCCTTCTGCATGGCCGTGCTATACAGAAATTCTTGCTTTCATGGCCGCCATGAGCAACCCCTGTCGCAAGTCCCCTCGCGTCTACCCTTGGGGCTCGGTCCGCGTCTTGCGACTCGACGAGAATATCTGGTGGAAATTCTCCTCCTCCTCCATTGCCCGGCTCCTGCGTGCACTCCCATCACTTGAAAAGCTAGTGCTTGGAAATGGAGATAGTGATGATGCGAACCTTGAGATTACAGGAGTCCCCGCGCATTCCAGGCTGGCACTAATTACAATTGGCGTGCATGATGCCAGTGCCCAGCCTCAGCATGTGGCCCATATTATCCGTTGCTTGATCGATATGGAATATCCCCTCAGAATCATGCGAATCTACGCTGAGGTATATCCCTTCTTTAAAGACGCTGATACGTTGGTGGCATCCGCCATCAATGAATTGGTTCAGCATGCGGGACCATCACTCGACGATCTTGGTCTTTTTCTCAAAGGCAACAAAGATGATGCCGACTGGGCTCCATTTGGTAAGCATTCTGGCCTTGATGCTGCTGCGGACGAATTGAGCCTGCTACTATGGTTCCTCGGTGGTTTCGCCCGTTGCTTATATTCCTTATAGATCGTCAATGTGATTTCTTTGAGAACACAAGCCCCACATCCCTTCGAATCCATGGTTGCAATGCATCCTGCCTTGACGTGCGCGAGATTCTGTCTCACGTCACATTAAGACATGTCTCTTCCGTCAACATCCGTTTCAAACAGTTGGGACGGAGTGACCGAGGAGAGTTGAGTGAAGGACTTTCGCAATTGGACACCATGCTTTTACCTTCCGTCTTCGACAATCTCGTACACGTACTGATATCAATAACATACCTGGAAGCTGAAGAAGACATGACAGAGTGGGTGTGTTGGATAAGGTCGTGCTTGACTAGTCTCGACAAACGGGGAATTGTAGGGTGTGTATCGGTCGCTCCATCGGCTATTGACAATATTAACTGTCCACATTACTGATGCAATCTTCTATAGGATCGAAGTAGTGTACGATTCGTAGTAGGTGACAGAGCGCCCAATGTTCGATATACGGCGACCGCTGACAACCTGCCAGTTACAGGATCGGATTGAATTGGGATGATGAAACCAATGACTGGAAACGTTATGATAGCAAGCGGAACTCGACTCCCAATTTACAAATTGTAGAGGTTCCTGCTTTCGGAGGTGATCCACCTTCTGAAGCAATGGCGGCATACACGGCGTGGAAGCGTTCTCCTCAGGTGGGTACCTTCTGCTGCGTCAAGCCATTATTTATCTTAATCGAACACAGACAAGAGGCCACCGGCAACCGACGCCAGAACCAAAGGGAGAGGCGCCTCCCCGGCAGTGGGTGACGGTACGCACTAGTTCATTGCGATGCAGCCGGATGCTCATGCGTTCGTGCGTAGGAGGTCACAGCGCATGGCCGTGCATACGAAGAGGAGGCGCGAGGCGTCAAGGGGATTTGAGACATAAGCGTTCGGGCCATGTGTCGTCTATGTTTTGACATTGCTGCTTCGCTCGGACTCCCGTGACATATCCTCCCGCCGCATTGGAAATTCTTATCTGGGCTTCTGAGACTCCGGCCTCATGGCTAGACACGCAGCCGAGGCAGTACCGTTCAAATTGCACAATGAACAAATATATTCTGGGTCGCGCACTTAGTCAGCGGTCTAATATCGTTTGTTACGCTAGTTGGACCACAGCAGGTAGTGCACAGTAAACAGATATCTGTAGCATATGATGCAGAGGGGAATGTCGAATGCGTATCGTTTCAATTTGTCAGTAGGGTCGTTGGTGTTGGCGATTGCGTCCCGGCACCAGGCGTCCCGTTCTGATGGTGAGTCTAACATGTAGTGAATCTACTAATATTCGCGACGTCGGGCGGCCCCGCATGAGCCGTAGCATACAGGATATGCCTGCGCACGGTTTATCGGCTGGTGAACAGAGGCGCCTCGACGACGACCTTAGCAATGTCCTCACCGTGTCAAGACGCCCGCTCCACGATGGACCAGCAGGGCGTAGCACGGCCGGAGGATGTCCTTTGGATCGGCGGGCCGTGCAAAGATTGGAGAACATGCCCTCTCGGTCTTCTCCAGGATGCTGCCATGCAAGCTTATACTTGTGGCTCGCCATTCACCCCCTTGATCCAGCGTATGTTTGGATCTCAATCCATTTTGTGTGGTATACTCGCGTGCGGACGCCGTCGACGGCCAGAGGAGGATCCCGACGATCGCGCATGCGCGTCCGCAATGTCGTTGCGCCTCCTGACTCACCGCCCTCTCAATTTGCACTCTGAATGTACATCTGCGAGCGCCCTGTCCTGCTGCATGTCGCGAGCCTGAGCGAGTTTCGCCAGTTAGGACCTTTTTATAGGAATACAATTAGTTCTTTCAGGTATCACAAGGAACGTGAAAGCGCGCACCCGCAGTGATAATATCCACGAATCTTCTTCCACCCGAGGGTTTCTCCAAGACCCGCGTGGACAGGATAGTCTGTACATACGAGGTGGAAAACCTATAACGGCACACATTCGGGCTAGCATGACGTAGAACCAGTGATTGGAGGTGCAGTACCTATCGCGCAATCTTACGTAGGCCATGGCAACGACCTCTCGCGTGGACGCCTGGATTGGGCTCCAACGTCGACGAAGGGTCCGATGGCGGCGTCACCCAAGAATAAGTCATCATAGACGTCGGGTCGCCAACGCGTGATTCGCGTCGAGCTCTCTTTTAATTTGCGGCAACCTGGAAAGAGTGGATCAAACCCACTCGAACTAGTGGACTGTGGTAGCGTTGGAAGCGGAAAACATGTCACTATACCTGAAAACCGCCTCCGTGGGTCAGCCTGCACAGATGGCTCTGATGCTACGTCCTTCGTCCACACCGGACACAACGTGAGATGAGCACAGTTACTCGCCTTCACGGTCCGTGGAGATGGGCTGAAATGAGTGCTTGTTCAGAAGTTTCAAGGGGTATCACGAAGTGAACTTCGACGAGCAGCCATCACACACGGGCGAGGACGAAGATGAGCATTCAAATTTGAGGTCATAAACTCAACGAGATCTCAGGGTGCGGGGACATGTAACGGGACGCCGTGTGCTACCTCCTGCGCGCGCGAGGAAGGTGGCTAGTGATTGGGACAACTAGCTATCCTGATATGACCCAAGTAGTTGCAACCCGGTCGGTAATTAGCCTGGGATTCAATGTATGGTGCCTGCTTGGGTCAGTACATTTACCAGTGATGTGTTGGATGACAGCGCACCTGGATTAGCTACGACGATGGTTGTCTCCCGCCTCGTTCAGCCCAAACTCCATTGCATCTCGCGTAGATCGATGGTCGGAGCCCCTAACACAACACGAGTCGCTTCATGCTGAGTTTACCAGATTCCTTGCAGTATGTTTCCAGTACTAGCAGAAGATGGACAAGGCGGGCAAAACACAGCAGGACGTGTCCATGTTATAGGAGAAGAGAACGTCGTGGCGGGCGTCTGGCCGTGGATGGCGCCGACTCGATCACTTTGCTTGTCCTCGTATGTATATCGATGATGTCACCTCTCAACGCTCCTCGTCCTTTGCGCGTCTTATGTGCTCTCCTGCCTCTCCGCATCTTCTGCCCCAACCGCACGTGAATCATGAAAATACCTAAGTTGGTGCCTGCAGCCGAGGATACCGAAGTCAGAGCATACGCCGGACACTTCGCGCGCTACCCGTACACAGCTCGGACTGGGTCTGCGAAATGGCTGTAACAAGCACTCACAGACAGACAGCGCTTCCCAACACCTGTGATGCGGATGCTTTGTTCAGGAATTTCGACTCTCAGTTTACCGCGTAGTGTGTTTCGCACTCGGATTCTCCGACCTTGATCTAATGCTCTGTCCCCAGCCCTCACACATACCTCGATCAGACAGTAAAGGGGTGAGCCGCATCAATGCGTGAAGGCCGTGCAGCATGGGACAAGCAAATACCGACAAGAGCGTATATCGCACAACCGGCGCAGGCGCCTGTCACAGGCACTGCAGAGAAAATGGGTATTATATTGGCACAGAAGGACAATCACACAGGGGTATAAAGAGGGGTGAGTACCTCAAGCTGGGATCGATTCAGGCCTTCAGAAAACCTAGACGGCGCGTCAGCGAACGTGTGGTGAAAGGCGCCTGATTGACACTCACATATTGCGCCGTCCAGTAATCTTTGCCGTCGCGTCTACATCTCTCAACTCTCATGGTCTTCACCAGGCGGATACTGTGCTGGCTCCTCCGTCTCTCCGCCTTCCGGTTCCGATCTCGGTGCCTGCCGTGCAGCTGCTTCAGCCACCATGTAGTCATGGAGAGACAATGATGTACGCTCGATAGGCGCTGCTATCGGGACGCTGCTCGACTCATAGATTCCAGAATGGCCGTCCCGCGCGTGCTCGTCAAGACGTGACGAAGGCGTACTCATGGACGCTGAGGGCGAGGGATCGTGCTGAGCCAGCGTAGAAGCCCTCCAAGGTTGCGGGGACCCATATGTTGACTGCGGTATACTAAAATCTACCTCTGCACTCCAAGCAACTGAAGACGCGCTGTAAAAGACGCGATCAGCAGAGGTATCAGACTCACAGTGCTGACTGGTCTTACCTGGATTGGCCATTAAACGGCGGCTGTTCTGCAGGATGGCCCATCGGGAGAACCTGCACTGTCTGTGCCTCTTGCTGACCTTGAAAACGTCTTGCACGGGACGGAAGTGGGAGCTTGGGGCGGTCAGATAAATCGGTGGACGGTAAATCGGTGGGCTGCGAAGAATCCGAATCCGGATGGTCTTCTTCCGGACTGTCACCGGAGACGTCGCCCTCGGGATGACCACTTGGTGCAGGGTAAGCTGTCTCGCCATATTCATATTCATACCCGAGGTCAACCTCCACTTCGTCACTTTGTGACTGCGTATCTCGCGCGTCGTGCTCGCCATTCTCGGTGTACCATGCTTGCCCGTCCTGCAGGTCTTGCGGGCCTGTTTCTGGCATGCCCTGCCAATATTGGAGACTGGAATACCCCTGCGCAATCGGCGCTGAATTGGATGCTTGGCCCATACGTGGGTCAGCATAATGTGAGGCGACGATGTCAGGGACGGTATAGTAGCTAGAGGACGGAGCCTGGTCGAACATGATCGATGCAGTGGAGGGCGGCGGGGCAGGGTCGTATTGCGCGAACTGCTGTCCTGTCGCAAGGGCCGGCGGGCGAGGTTGTGCAGCCCACTGGTAGCCGTATGGTCCAGTTGTGCTCATTGGGCCTTGCCACGACTGCGGGGTCATGGGCTGGTAATACGAGTCGTCGAGACTGGGTTGGTACCCTCCCTGGAGCTGTGACATCGCATTCATGTTCGCATGATTAGCTTGCCCCTGCATATTTTGCCTGTCGATCAGGTCATCGTCGATCATCTGCATGCTTTGCCCGCTCTGCGCTTGCTGTAGCAAAAGGTTTATGAGGATCTTCTCTAAGTTTTCAGCTTGAGCAGCAGATGGTTCGACAGTATCGGCTGCAGTGACTGGACTCGGGGATGACGGCTGGCCTGCCAAGGGCATGCTACTAGACGACGCAGCAGGGATCTGCACCGCAGGCTGCGATTGCGGCGCCTGAATGGGTTGCTGATACTCCTGCAGCGGAACCGCCGTGGATGGATTGTGGGGAGGCGGCTGAATAGGGGTACACTGGACTGGAAAATCATGACCGGCGTCGACGTCAGGTTGAGCTTGCTCGTACTGCACAGGCTGTGCGACGTGTTCAACCTGCTCGACCGATCCACTGTCCTGTGAGTCCATCGCATCGTCCATTTGCATCCATTGTCCGCCTTCGTGAGACACCTGGTGCTCAGCCCGCTCGGTCTGCGAAAGTTGTCCGCTTTGGTACGAGTCGTTCCCAGATTGGTAGCCGCTGTTTGGCAGCTCTTCCTGTTGCGCTTGCACATCTCGCTCGATCTGCGCCTCCTGGAGGCGTAGATCGTTTTCTCGCGCAGTCTGCACCTGGTAATCCGCTGGGCCGAATTGCACCTCCTGATCGCGCACGCCTTCCGTACAGTCGGTCAGCATGCCCCCCTCACATAGGCTTCCCCGACCCGTCTGCGTGTCCTTCCACTCCACGGGAGGTGTCTGTGTTTCCTGCTCACGTAGAGCTGGCTCGTCTTTTTGCACCTCCCGATCCTGCAGATGCCTCGCTGGCCCTACCTGCACCTCCTGATCACGCCGACGCTCGGCCTCCTGGCGCACACGCTCGGCCTCCAGACGGATCTGCTCCTTCTCCAGTATCGCCCGCTGTTGTTCCAGAGCTATCTGCTCTGTCGTAGCCTGTATGCGTCTCCGCTCAGCCACCAAGCGCTCCTCCTCCGCCTGCATGCGCCCAGTCTCGATCCGCGCAAGTTCCTTCTCCCGCATCTCGCGCTGTTCTTCCAAGCGGATCTGCTCTTCCATGGCCTCCACGCGCCTTTGCTCGGCCTCCAAGTGTTCTTCCTCAGCTCGCGTGCGCGCTGCCTCTCGCCGGAAGCGCTCCTTCTCCAGCATCTCGTTCTGTTCCTCCAGCACCGTCCGCTCCACAATGGCCTGTACTCGTTTACGCGTATCTTCCAAGCGTCCCTCCTCTGCATTCATGCGCTTGGTTGCAATGGCTGCACGCGCCTGCTCTACCTGCGCCCGCTCCTTCGCCCGCTGCTCGTGCTCCTTCCTCGCCTTTGCGCGTTCCGAGTCCAGCCGCGCACGCGTAGACTTCAGTACTTCCAGCGTCCCATAGACCTCTGCCCGGCGTGCTGTCATTGTCGCATAAATCCTCGTGAGCCCTGCGCAACGCTCCTGCCACTGAGTCTGCAGTCCCGCGGCGCGCTGGACCTCCTGCTCGACAAATGCTAGGTACCCCTCGCGTTCTCTCTCCATGGCCTCTCGCACTAGAGCCGGGCGCGCGCTCTGGTACTCCATCATTTTGATATGCCCGGCACACTTCTTGGCGTATATCTCGCAAGCGTACGCGGTGTGCGCCATTGACACTGTCTCGGGCGTGGGCGCGAGCCTACTGGGGGCCCACGAGGGCTTGGACGGCCCTGAAAGCAATGGTCAATTAGCGTGGCAGTAAACGAGGGCGCGAGGATCGTACCTGACGTGGAATGACTTTCATGAGCTGCTGAGATTTCCGTCTGTTGCTCGGTACGTGCTGCCGTCGTGTTGCTGGCGTCGCCGTCGGTGTGGTTCGTGTTTGGAAGGACGGTGAGTACGGTATCGTGGTTTGCAGAGGCGCTCGGGACAGTCGACGAAGCACCATCGCGGTCCAGAGAGCTCGTTCTGGACCGCGATGGTGCGCCGCCATAGAATATCGCTATGAGCTTGGCAACGATGTTGCTCTGTACATCACAATCAGCATGCATGGTGTCCACTGACACGCATGCACTCACCTGGGTATAGCTCCGCAAACCACTGTTGGCAGATACCGTCTTCTCATCACGCCGAGCTTGATAGATCTTGAACAGTCCACATGCACTCCAAATCGTTGCGAACGTGAAGGCAATCGCCACGATGTGAGCTGGACGAAGATGGCAGGTAGGGACGATGGATGCGAGGTAAGTTGGGCAGAAGTGGTTAGCTGAGTCTACCGCATCATCCGACCAGATCACTATATCTGACGACGCATCCTCAGATGCGGAAGCTCGGGTCAACGTGGGCATCGACATGGAGGTACCAAGCACCGGCGACGACGCCACAAGTTGAGTAACGAGCGCCGGAGGCTGCAGCTCAATGGGGACAGCGTGAGTTGTGGGGGCCCAGATGATGATATCCTTGGCTTCAGCCGTAGTTGGCGAAGGGGGTATAGAATGACGAGTCGGGGGAGCCGGAAGCGTGGGACGGATGGACCTACGCGGATCTAAAGTGAGCAAATGTGGCGTGCGTAGGTATTGAACACACTCACCGGAGCGAAAGCGCAACCTCTTTAGCGAGGTATGCGAAGCGAGGAGAAGCCGCGTCGATGAGCTGTCCGACGACTTCAGGTAGATATTGATTGTTGGGCATCTGCATCTGCACGAAAAACGTGAAGATGACAATGCCAATTTGGCTGGCTACTTGAAGCCAGAGCATGGTGATTCAGAGTTTCAAGTTCTTTGTGGAGAAAAACAATGAATTCGTGTCAGCCGTACTTCCTATCTTCCAACTGTGCCGTCTCGTAAAGCGACGACGCCACAAAGTGAACAAATAGTGCGCCGAGGCTGGATTGGCAAGAAGACATGCAAAACGCTGGACACCCACCGAAAGAGGATTGAATAGCTTAATGCGCGAGTGAATATAATTTTGTGAAGATTGTTGAGAGGATAGACAGTGCCTTGTGAGTGGGCGTCGAGAGCAGGACGGAGTGCTCAAGACAGCCAGAGCGGGCGGCCCGACACATGGAGTTCGCGGAGATCTAATTCCTAATCTCACACTGTGCGGAGTTCCACTCCATTACCATAAACACTTACTTGCTGCTTGTTGCGTCTCTACGAACACGAGAGGCACCGTTCGAACTCCGCACTCGGAGTTAGGACAAAGGACATAGCATTTCTGGCACCTAGTCGATTATAAGCAGGTCCCATTCCATACCACAGATGGGTCTATTATGAATGTATGCAGCAGATAGAACTGCGTTGAGCTTATTGTCTCCTGCAGAGTCGTAATGAAATCATGTTGATTGCACGAAAGGGATGCTATCCCTCTCATGCAAACACTGACGCCCGGTGGAATCGTTCCGGGATCAACGTAGCGAAAGGTGTGCGGATCCGGATTGTTCATTATAACACTCGTTTAACGATCTCATGGATGACAGATATACCCATCCTCGCATTGAACGAGCTATAAACACGCGCCATGCGCAATTCCACTGAAGTGACACGAGCGGCTATGACAGCTGAGCGCCCCACCTAAGGCAAATAAGGACACACAACTACACTTAAATGGGGAATCGCTTTCGACCCCGCCATCCTCCGATCTCCTTCGCTCCGAGGTCTGTCCTGAAGTGCTCAACGGCCTCTTCGCTCGTCAACGCCGCATTGCCCTCTATATGTCGACCGCACATACACCGGAAGAATCGACATACCCTAGGGCATCTTGCTGTCGCGTCATTCCCGTTCAAAGTATATCCTACGGGCAGGGGTTCCCTAGCTGATCTGCTTGCTGTCTGAGTGACAAATGCGACACTAGAATTTGTAGTGCTCACCCAGATACAGGACATATTCCTCTCGTATTGTCTCGGAGACACGTTGTATTCTTCTGCCATAGATGATTGGCTGTCTATCACTGAAAATCCTCACTTTCTCCCAGAGAAGTACCCCGTACTCTGCGCTACCCAGGCGGACTCACAGGTTGGCTGTTCTGACGTGACTGTTAGGCAAGACGTGGTGCGACGGGATGTATGTAACGACATCAAAGCGACATTCATGCATTCGACATCAATCCCTCCGTCTTTCTCTTTGCAGCGCTAAATATATAGAGCACAGGTGCGTGCTTCCACTTCCGTCTCGATACAAACACGTTCCTTGTCTGAAAACCACTCAATATATTCATCGCCTTGTCGCGGACTTCTTCCATCCACGTAAAAGCTGTCGCAATGTCTCATATTGAATGGAATGAGCGGCAGCATCTCGCATATACACTGCAGGTACGCGTCTCCACGTCCCTCGCCCGGCTTCTGATTCTCGATGGAAACTCATACCTATACCACATGGGCGCCCGGTGTCCAACACAATCGTCTTCGAGCCACACAGCCTTCAGACATTCGCCTCGTAAGCCCGCCGCGCGATAAATGCTCCATGGGCGGTTCGTTCCGGGCTTCAATATCACATATACAGGCTCGTACCTCCGCACTGCCTCGATCAGACACTACATGGTCAGCTTGTCAGACGCTCAATAGACAGAACCCTAGGACGACGTGCGAGTAGTTGCCTAAGCGCCGCACAGCTATGTGCATACGGAACTCCTGGGCGTCCCTCGTGGTTGATGTACCGCGCAGCGACGTGAACTTGCATGTGCTCTACCAGGCTTTGGCCGCCGTGCTCCCTACGTCGTGGGTATGTGTTCCCGCATTCCGTTCCTCGCCACGGGCATATGCGAAGGGACATGATGACGGACAAGTCAGTACGTTGACGCAGAGCTCAAGTGACGGTGGAGGGTTACCAGAGAGCGTCATGTAGCGATGGTGCCGCAGACACAAGGAGCACCGCCGCAGACCGCGACCACTGCGAGGATCGGCGTCGCGTGGCGCACTTCCTGAACCGACGAGTTGCAGGGCGATCTGTATACCCTGAAGCTCCCTGGGCGCGGATCGCATCATACCGCGTAGCTCTTTGGTCTCAGCGCCCGAGTAGCATACAGAACCGAGGTCGAGTGAGGGCAATCCGCGACGCTCACTCCTGTTCCAAAATTTGCAGTCTGAATTCCTTTGATGCGATGCGAAGAATTGCCTGCTGCGTGTGCATAGTAGGTGTGCGACAGCGCACCTTCTGCCAGGTCTGCCTGTCGGCCGATGTGGATGTGCCGTCACCATGATATTGATTCAGATGTTCACCGTTCCACAACAGCCGCGCCTTCGCGGCATAAGGCCGAGAGCTGGGACAGCGGCATCGTTGTACTTGCGGGCTGAGCAAGACTAGAAAGGCATCATCGCCTGTCCACTTCCCCCAATTTGTCAGCCACGCAGCCCCGTCACGGTCACCTAACCACCTTTTGCTGTCTTGTCTTATTCCGATAGCCGTCTGCTCGTGCTCACAATCCTGAGCGCGTTTTTCAGGACGCCTGTCGGGCGAAAGCCGACGGTGGGACAAGTAACACGGACAAGCGGCGATCCCCTGTTCCCCTTGCGATCCGGGGAGGGGTCATGAGCTGTATCTCTGCTCGTGCGCGCTGTCCACATTGTAGTCTCGAGTAGTAGAGACCTCTCCCTTATCACATCAGATAAGTTTGCGAGGTAACTCATCGCGAGACGCCCGGCAGACTTGGCGTCCCGCCATCCCCGAGAGAAACTGCGCAATCGCTGACGATGAGAAGCACTGAATTACTAACGTAAGGCATTCGTGTGATTAATATGAGTGTTATTCAGAATCAGATGTCGAACGAAGAACTCGGAGAGGCGTACCTGCAGTGTACGTAGAGACGCGGGCGCCTTGCTATCTCGCGGAAAGCAGGGGCCTGTGAGAACATCTTCCGGTGGACGACACCGGAAGGAAGCCACGGAAGAGTGACACCTCCATGAACTTGATCGATGGGCCAATTCCAGATTGTGTGCTACGCGATGATGACAGCTTCTACATGGACAGAAGACGTCCACAACAAGGCGATGAATATATGGCGCGGTTGTCGGACAAGATAACGTGCGCAGTCTCTAGATTTGATAAGTTCGGTATTCGACGATACTTGCATCCCAGAGATCGGGACCTGGGTCGTGGGGTGGAGTTTCGTCTCGTCCATTTCACCGCCCAGGTCTCGAGCTATGTGAAGACACAGCTTCCCATGGTATATCGGCGCCTTGTCAATTACATGCCTTCCACTACTGCCGCGAGCAGAATGCTCGTGCCTCGCGTCGAGTTCGAGTCAATTTGGCAGACTTCGACGAGATACAGAGGCAGAATTGTAATCTCCTTAGCTTGAGATGTAAAGATGTAACGCGCGTGATGTGACTAACTCACGCAGACATACTCTCGTCCAAGGCCTGCGATATGCATAACACTCGTTACGGACTGCATGCTATCTTAGCGCCGGAGAAGGCTCAGAACTCGTCCACTGCTGTATACATGGATCACAGGTGCGTGCTTCCACCTTGCCTCAATGCAGACAGCGCACAATTTTTATCTTCGCATCTAGAGCCATAGAGGGAAGAACGGAAGGATCCATGCCGAACGTGAATTGCACGAAGCTCCACGGTGTCATTATATAGATCAGGACGCCGTTTGGTGTCAACACAGTACAGTCTCAATCGCACGCCGCCTTGGCTCCTCGTAGCACTGCGCCTTGCTTAACAGTCACGATAGAACATCAAGCTTGTGAGTCCTCCTAAGCAGCGCAGAGGACGGTGAGCTTCTCTGATTAAAGTGTAAGCAGCTTTCGATGGAAGCCAGCGAGACGTCCTCGGTGAAAGAAGACCAGATGCATCTGAGGCGAAAGGACGTGAATATGCCTTACCTGCTGGTGAGCACAAATACACCCGCTCTAGTGTTGTGTTTGCCACTTAGATGTCATGTAGAATATCCGAAATCGTTCCTTGCCTGTGGAACTCTGGATGCACATCCTGGACGATGTTGCGGAGGAGCGGGACTACGATGCATTAGCAAGATGCGCCAGGGTCTGCCGATTCTTTCGGGAGATGTGTAAGAAGCATTTAAGGAAGACCTTGACGTTCGAGAGCGATGAAGACGTGGAGCGCCTCAAGACAGACACTGCAGCGAAGGAGATCGGGGGCTGGCGAGGACCGGACGATATCAAGATCAGGGGAGGCCAGGACTCGAGAGCGATTCCACACGTGGCTACGTTCGCGTCCAAATTCGCAAGCAGATGGGACCACATCTGGAAGCTCAAAATCAGCAAGGCGTCGTGGCCGTTGTCGCTTCGGGCCGCCGATGCCGCCGTCTTCCGGGATCTCTCCCGCTTTGTCTCGATCCTCGAACTTATCTTGGATGACGTCACGTTTCCGTCCATCGTCACGTTAGGCGCCCTCGTCTCAGCTCTGCCGCACCTCAAGGAGCTCAGCCTCCGCAATGTCAAGCTCACCGAATCGTCCTTGCTCTTCGACCCTCGCACACTTTCCGACTTTCGCCTCCTGCCACCAACCAAGAACCTGCAGACGATTACCGTGGGTCGCGTGTGCGAATTAGTCTCACATGAGTTCGAACCTTCTACATGGCCGTGCTATACGGAACTCCTTGCTTTCATGAACGCCGTAAGCGACCCCTGTGGCAAGTCCCCTCGCGTCCATCCATGGGGCTCCGTCCGCAACTTGCGACTGGACCAGAATGTCTGGTGGAAATTCTCCTCCTCCTCCATTTCCCGGCTCCTGCGTGCACTTCCATCACTTGAGAACATCCAGTTTGAAAGGGCAGATAGCTACTTTGCGAATATTGAGATCGAAGGAGTCCCCGCGTATCCCAGGCTGAAACCAATCACGATCGGCGTGCATTGTGCTCGTGTCCAGCCTCGGAATGTAGCCCATATTATCCGTTGCTTGATCGCCATGGACTATCCCCTCACAATTATTCGAATCTATGCTATGGTTCATCCCTTTCTACGAGACGCTGATAGACTGGTGGCCACTGCCATCAATGAATTAGTTCAGCATGCGGGACCGTCTCTCGACAAACTTGGTCTTTTACTCAAAGGCGACAGATTCAACACCATGCTTTCTCCTCTAAATCGAAATTATTCACTTGATGCTACTGCAGACAAATGTGAGTCCGCTACTATAGTCTCTCGGTGGTGCAGCGCGTTGCTTATACTCCTTATAGACCGCCAATGCGATTTCTTTGCGAACACAAACCCCACTTCCCTTGTAATTCATGGTTGCGATAGACCCTACCTTGGAATGCGTGAGATTCTGTCGCACGTCACATCAAGATGCGTGTCTTCTATCGACCTCTGTTTTTCACTTATTAAACGGAGTGACCGGGGAGAGTTGCGCGAGGGCCTTTCGCAATTGGACACCGTGCTCTTACTTCCCGTCTTCGACAATCTCATGCACGTATTTATATATGCAAGCGTCGATCCTCATCTGCCTGTGGAAGAGATGACAGAGTGGGTGTGCTGGATGAAGTCGTGCTTGACTAGTCTCGACAAACGGGGAATCCTAGGGTGTGTATCGGTTGCCCCACGTGCTAATGACAGTGAAAATTAATCGTAACACTGATGTAATATCCTATAGGATTGAAGCAAATGTCAGATCTCCGTAAGTGAAGGCACGCCCAGCGTCCAATATACAGCGACCATTGACAATCTGCCGGTCGCAGTATCAGGCTCGGATTGTTGTGGGCGCATGATATTCAAGACTGGAGACGTTATGATAGCAAGACAGACGAGAATGGTAAGGTAGAAATCATTGAGGTTCCTCCTTTTGAGGGCGGTGCGCATTCTGAAGCAATGGCGGCATACACGGCGTGGAAGCGTTCTTCTAAGGTGGGTAGCTTCTACTGCATCAGGCCATTATCTTTTATCATTCGCACACAGAAAAAGGGCCACCAGCGATCGACCCCAGAGCCAAAGCGGCACGCAGCCCCCCGGCAATGGACGACGGTATGCTCTAGTTTATTGCGGTGCAGCCGGATGCTCATACGTTCGTGCGTAGGAGGTCACAGCGCGTGGCCGTGCATACGGAATAGAGGCGCGAGGCGTCAACGGGACTTGACACATAGCCGTTCAGGCCATGCATCGTCCATTTCACGCTCCTGGTGCTCGGCTTGGACTCCTGCCGTGTCGTAAATTCACTCGTAATCTTCCAAGGCTCCGTCCTCATGGCTAGACATGCAGCCAGCCGAGGGACTTTTGTACTGTTTCGCAATGGACCACGAACAAATATATTCTGAGACGCGCACATAGCCAACGGTCTAGTACCGTTTGATACGCTAGTCGGACCACAGCAGGTATTGCACAGCGAAAGTATATCTATAGCATATAAGACAGAGGGGAACATGGGTGCGTATCGACCATTTTGTCAGTAGGGTCATTAATGTTAGCGCTAGCGTCCCGGCGCCGGACGCGGCGTTCTGATGGCTAGCATGTGGTGATGCGACCAATGCTCGCGGGCAAGATGTTGTGCTATGCGGCCACGCACGTTGCTGAGGCGCTCGAGATGTCGGGCTGCGCTGCATGAGCCGCAGCATAGGGGGCATGTCCCCGCGGACCTGAAACGTTGGTAAATATCGGTTGGACTAGTAGAACTGCCAGTACGCAAATCATGTCTCCAGATCTGCAAGAAGCGTCAGCAAAACCGTGCGAGCAGGTCGAGATCTTCAGCGTGAGATCTCGTAGCTAGTGCTACCAATGGAGGTTCCGCTACTAGCGCATTCGTGTTATCCGGGAAAGCGAGGGGCTGCGATCTGATCTTTCCACTAGTCTCTCGATCAAGACCGTGTCGTAGAGTGCACGATGTGGCGGAGCGTTCCGCATGAAGACGTGGATTAGAGACCAAGCCGGAGGATGAGATCTTCTGGCCAAATTTGCCGACAGACGCCAAGGGAAAGTGACGTTGAATCTATGCTCGCGTGGTCCATGTTGCTGGGCATCTCTCTGAAAATGTCCTCCTCGGCAAGGGCCATGTGGCAGGGAAACGACAACATCACCTAGCATCCGCACTTCATCGATCTATCGTCCACGAGAGACGCAGCAGGTCCATGTACAGAATGTCAAAGTCTTCAGCTTTTCTACAAGACAGCGACCACGTCAAGAAATCGTCATCAAAAAGATATCAGTATATGCATGACACCCGAACTACTAACCACGTAATCGTTGAAAGGCCTGCCGCGGAACGCCGTACAGTACCTGGACGCATCGGTTAGCGGAGAGATGTCGAAGGTGAATGACATGTCCCGTTGGTGTGACAGACACGAGGAGCGCGGAAGCACATAACACGCTATCACGGCGCGACCGCTCGCAGATTCAATGGTACGCGGTGGGCGTGTGGATTTCGGACGTCGATGCGCGGGGCGGGTTGAGTACTGGGACACTTCGGGGCCGTGCTGTACCATCTCACATAGTTCTGCTGTCCTAGCAAGATCCGAGGCTGAGCGAGGGAAGCCGTGGCCTTCACTCTAGTCCCGAGCTCCAGAGTCTGCAATCCTGTTATGTAAAATTCTAAGTCGACGCGGCTTCTGTGCGTTGAAGGAGACGCAGTTCGCCTGATGTGCGTGGGCATTCGATCGCACGACTTTCACTGAGTCCGCGCGCGGACCGGCGAGGACGTGTCATCAACATGTAATGCCTTGAGCCAGTTACCGTTTCGCATTGCCCGCACCTTCAGCCTAACGGCTGAGAGCTGGACAGTGATATCGCTGTACTGCGCGCCCCCTCTTGTCCCACACCAGAATTGTGTCAGTCATGCGCGCTGATAACACTGTATGTCGCCTAACCCATAGTCGTCTACTTGAACCCTCAATCCTGGATGCATATTAAGGAAAGCCTGTTGGTCGAACGGACCGACAGACGCCGGATCCCGCTACACATCTGTGAACCTGAGAGACTACTTCCGGTTAACAGAGCACCTAGATAGGCATATACCAATACACGCGGAACGCGGAACATGGAACATGGAGGTGCGCAGCTATGATATTGGGAGAGTATTTTTCAGATGGCAGCCGGTAGCCTGAGACACGCACTTGTCTGCTGCAGAGATATGGTTCCACGTCCTGGCCGACCTCGCCAGGAATACGATCATAACGCGACAGGAGGATGCAGAGCGGTGTGCGGAGGCCTCCAACATTGGTGTAGCCGACATGTACGGCCTGAGGAGAGCATGTCACGAGCGCGTCGAGACAGAGGAGACACAAGAAGAGCGTCAAGACTGTGGCAAGTGTCCATCGTTCGCGTTGAGATTCGCAGGCAGATCGAGGAGGCGCTGGCGTTGCCGCAGCCCCGGGCCGACCCCGCCATCATCCGCGATCTGACCACCTCGATCGCCAACTTGGCGACGTCACGTTCCCGTCCATTGTCACGCTCACTCATCTCTGCTCACGGTGCTCAAGCTCATAGTGTAGGTGTATGCGTAATACCCCGCTCGTCGCCTGAAAGCTCACGTACGTCTACTGCTCTGATTCCGGATGGCCGCATATGGCTTACCGCTAGCGTCCACAGCCTATCACTTTTATGCTTCCGAGAATACAAGTCTCAAATCTGTCCACTTGGTGTACTACCCCTTGGTCGGCACAGAGACTCTGCGGTACATTGAGTATGTATTAGAGCTTCTATCTTGCATTAAACACAAAATACATATCTAGCATCAGGTTCGGGTTTACTTGTTTGAGCGGGGACTGGTCGAAGGTCAGTCTCCCACGACTTACCCCTTGTCCTCATGGCAAAGGCGCAGGACGCCGCGCTTGTTCACCAAGTTCTGATTGTCGTCTATGAATTTGATAAGCACTATATCCTTGGGTATGTATCACAATGGTTGACGATTGTGAGCATAACATGTCGCCAGCGAACTCAGTATGCCGCACCAAGGTCAGTGTTAATACCCGGCGTCTATCACATTGCGACACATTGACGGCCTGTTCTCAGAATTGGGATGCCTTGAAACGACAAAAGGAATGGCAAGAAACGTGACGATACCAGGAGCTATATGTACACATCGTTGAGAATCCTGCTTTCGAGAGCGGTCTATAGCTCACAGGCGCCGCAGATGCCAACAGAGTCTCTGGTCAATTTCGCCGGAGCCCCTGGACGCTCGAGCGTTGGAGCATCGCCCATGGGTTACGCATCAAAGAAATTCTGGCTACTGCAGTTGAACTCTGTTCAAAGACAACAATGGTATGCCCGCTTACTTGCCTAATTTCGATGTGGTCAAACGCCCATGTGTTTATATCATTTACAAATAGACGATGACGGGCACACCGACAACCTCATATATGATGTCGCTGAGCAAGGATGAAGCGAACGCGGCCTCGCCGTCATCTTCAGTACGGGCATTGACCTCCTCCTCTTCCAATTGTGTTGCTGTGCACGCACCCCGGCACCGGTATGTCCTCGCTCCTCAATTGAATCTCATATGGCCCCAGCTGCAGATCCGGGCGATCCGGCCTAGGTAACGTTTACACGACAATGAAGTTGCATGTCCATCCTCAAATGCTAGGTCACGTTCGACAAATAACTCACAGGTGTAGTATCTTCGTACTGCATGGGGGCGTTTCCGGACGCGCTCAAATAAGCCTGTCAAACGAACGTCGCCGGACGCCGCGCATCGGTGCACGTCGTGAGCCAGAGCAGCCGCTGTAAGGCGCTTTTACTTGGACGCACCCACTCGCGTCGTAAAGTGCGCGTGGCACCGCGGCCAAACTGTCCCGCGGCTCACTGCGTGCATCATGGAATGCGGACAGAAGCACCCCGCGTTTCACGGAACATAGAGGTGCGCACCTATGATGTAGGAGAGCCAGTCACGGATGGCAGCCGGTAGCGTGCAATGTGCATTCGCCTGCAGAGATAAGGCTCCAACTCCTGGCCGAGTTTGTCAGGGATACGATTATGAAGCGACGGAAGGATGCAGCCCTGTGTGTTGAGGCTTCCGATGGCGGTGTAGCGGACACGGACAGCCTGAGGAGATCATGGCGTCTCAGAACGAAGAGGCTGAGCACGTCAAGACAGAGGCTGCGCTAGAGATCCATCATCAGATGTCGAACGAATAACCGGAAAACACGCACCTGCGATGTACTTACGAGACGGAGCTGCTACGCTATCATACACAAAGCAGAGGCCTGGTAGAGCGCCTTCCGGTAGATGACTCGGAAAGGAAGCTGTGGAGGAACATACCTTTGCCACAATCGATGGGCCAGTTCCATGTTGGATCCGGTAAGCGAATGCGACAGCGTCTACACGGATGGAAGGCGTCCACAACAAGGCGATGAATATATGGTGCGGTTGTCGGACAAGGAACGTGTTTGCGTTAAGGCAAGGTGGAAGCACGCACCTGTGATCCATGTATTACAGCAGCGGCCGAGTTCTGGACCTTCTTCGGCGTCAAGATAGCATGCATCAGACCTCGGACGAGCATATGTCTGCTTCTGTTGTCACGGCACGCACATTGCAGGTACACGCCTGTGGTCTATATTGCAAACCGTGCAGCATCAAAAGAACAGCGCCAAAGGGCGATCGATGAAGGCAGTGCGCAAGTTCAGCCTTAATTGGTCATTAAATTCCAGAGGTCGGCTATGCGAGGTGCAAACTGAGACGTGCGGCATCGCAGCACGCGTTGTTTTAGCTGAGGGTGATCTACTCTAGCCAGAGGCGTGGTCGCGCTAGCACTTGCTGCAGTGCACCATAATGATCGCCACTCGCATGGATTTCATCGGATGGACACGAGGTCCCCTGTAGTACCGACTGCAATTGAGGGCGTGTGGTCGCGAATGTGCGAAGACACCATGAAGCAGCCGCGTGGCAACTTAGAAATGTTCTGTACCTTGCAGATAGGAAAGTAGCGGTCTGATACATGCACGCGCCGCTAAGACGCATGGGATGCGAAATTGTCTTGAGTTTCAAGTCTCTGACTTCCGCTGTGTATGATACCAAGTTGAACATGCGTGGGAACCATGGGGCATATACCCTCGAGCACCACAGCTCTGTCCCGATCAATCTCTCGGATACTAGGGCGATGCGGGAGCCATCATATATACACTGGTAGGTTGCGGGACAGTATCACAGCGCACCTCCACTGAGATCACAGTGTTGTCTCTCAACCGTCCTAAATCCCACTGCGCCTGAGACAACAATGAGGATGACTCGGAAGCCTTCGAATCTTATGGAAGCACGGATGTGGAGAGCATATCATGAAAGGCGACGGCCGAGCTCCGCTGTCGTCGTGGTAAGGTCATGTGCCAGACTCATGCCGTTCAGGACTGAGACAGGATACAGCATACGAAAGGACCTTCCCTGCCTGCGAAAACCTGGCTGCAAGTCTTCGACGAGCTTGCGCGGGGGGGTGATTATGACGCAATAGCAGCATGCGCTGACGTGTGCAGGGTCTTTGCGGAGTGCAGTGGGCGATACATCAAGGAAAGCGGGTTCTGTCGGATGTTGCTGTTCGGGGACGAGGGAGATGTTTATCGTGCGCGCAAAAAATTTCGAAGCAGGGGGCTGATGGCCTGGCCAAGGGTGAATTCGGTCTCTATTAGGGGAAGAGGGAACACAAAAGCGATCCCGCACATAGAATCGTTCGCGTCGTTCTTCGCAACTGGCAATTGGGTCCGCATCGACGAGATGACCATCGAATGGGCGTCGTGGCCGTCATTGCTACGGGCCCCCGATGCCGCCGTCGTCAAGGATTTTTCCTGCTTTGCCAGGATCTCCAACCTCATCCTGGATCATGTCACGTTTCCATCCATCATCACATTTGGCGCCCTCGTCTCGGCTCTGCCACGCCTCGAAATGCTCATTCTCCGCGATGTCAAGCTCTCCGGATCCTCATTTCTATTCGACCCTCGCACGCTTTCCGATTTTCGCCTGCTACCATCGCCCAAGAACCTGCAGTATATCGTTCTGGGTGCCATGCCCGATGACGGCGATTATGTCCTCAATCCTTCTGCGTGGCCGTACTATACAGAACTTCTTGCTTTCATGGCCGCCGTGGGCAACCCCTGTCGCGGATCCCCTCGCGTTTACCCATGGGGCTCGGTCCGCGTCTTGCGACTCGACGAGAATATCTGGTGGAAATTCTCCTCCTCCTCCATTGCCCGGCTCCTGCGCGCACTTCCATCACTTGAGCTCTTCGATTTTGCAACTGCAGATAGAATCCTTGCGGACCTTGAGATTACAGGTATCCCTGCGCATTCCAGGCTGAAACCAATCACAATTCGCGTGAATTGTGCGACATCCCGGCCTCAGCATGTTGCCCATATTATCCGTTGCTTGATCGATATGGACTATCCCCTCACAATTATAGGAATCGACAGTACGGTATATCCCTGCCTACAAGAGGCCGATACGTTGGTGACCACCGCCATCAATGAATTGGTTCAGCATGCGGGACCGTCACTCGACGACCTTGGCCTTATTCTTGAAGGCTACAGATACGGCGAATATTATCCACCAGATCAGCATAATTCAATTTATGCTTGTGAGTCTGCTACTATGGTCTCTCTGTGGCGCCGCGCATTGCTTATACCCTTTATAGACTGTCAATGTGATCTCTTTGTAAACACAAACCCCACATCCTTTCGCATTTATGGCTGCGATGCATCCTGCCTTGGCGTGCGCGAGATTCTGTCCCACGTCACATCGAGATGCGTCTCTTCCCTCATCATCTGTTTCAAACGGTTGGAACGGAGTGACCGGGGAGCGTTGAGCGAGGGCCTTTCGCGATTGGACACCGTGCTTCTACTTCCTGTCTTCGACAATCTCGTGCACGTGCTGATATCTGTGGAAGTTCCTTCCACTCTGCTTGTGGAAGAGATGACAGAGTGGGCGCACTCGATGAAGTCATGCCTGGCTAGACTCCACGAACAGGGAATGGTAGGGTGTGTATCGGCTCGCCCGTGCGCTATTGACAATAATGATTGACCATCTGACTAATGTAATCTCCAAAAGGATTGAATTACATGATAAAGACTCCCAGTAAGTTTCAGGGTTCCCAATGCCCGAAATAATGGCGACCACTGACAACATGCCAGGGGCCGTGCCAGCCACCATGTCAGGCTTGGATTGATTTGGGATGACGACATAGAGCATTGGAGACGTTATGATAGCAGGATGGACCAGAATGGCAATGTGGAAATCGTCGAGGTTCCTGCTTTTGAGGGTGGTGCACCTTCTGAAGCAATGGCGGCATACACAACGTGGAGGCACAGGTGGGTACCTTCTGCTGCATCGTACCATTATCTATCTAATTCGCACACAGACAAGAGGCGACTGGCAATCAACCCCAGAGCCAGAGTAGCAGGCATCCCCCCCCTCGGCGATGGAGAACGGTAAGCACTACTTCATTGCGATGCAGCCGGATGCTCATGCGTTCGTGCGTAGGAGGTCACAGCGCGTGGTCGTGCATACGAACTAGAGGTGCGAGGCGTCAAGGGGATTATTAAGAACAGAGGCGTTCGGGTCATGCGTCGTCTATTTCATGATATCGATGCTCGGCTCGAATTCCTGCCGTGGCGTAAACCCAAAGCCAGAGTTGCATCCCCCCCTTCAGCGGTGGATGACGGTACGCACCAATTCAATGCGATGCAGCCGGATGCTCATGCGTTCGTACGTAGGAGGTCACAGCGCGCGACCCAGAGCCAGAGTTGCAGGCACCCCCTCAGCGGTGGATGATGGTAAGCACTACTTCATTGCGATGCAGCCGGATGCTCATGCGTTCGTGTGTAGGGGGTCACAGCACGCGGCGGGGCATACGAAGTGAAGGCGCGAGGCATCAACGGGGTTCGAGGCATAGGCGTAAAGGCCGTGTGTAGTCTATGCAATGCTACCGGTGGCTGACTTGGACTCCTGCCGTGTTGTAAATTTTCACTTGTATTTCCGAGACTCCGTCCTCATGGCAAGATACGCAGCCGAGATACTTCTGAATTATTTCGAATTACACAACAAATCAACAAATATCCTGGGACGCGCACTCAGTCAACGGTCTTATACCGTATGATACGCTAGCCGGACCTTAGCAGGTAGTGCACAGTCAACACATATCTGTAGCATCGAATGCAGAGGGGAACATCGGGTGCGCATTGTTCCACTTTGTCAGTAGGATCCTTGGTGTTGGTGATCGCGTCCTAGCGCCAGACGCGCCGTCCATTGTTCGCGTGCGAGACGTATATGCTAGGCGGCCACGCATCCCGTTGGACCACTCGAGATGTCGGGGTGCGCTGCGTGAACCGCAACATACGGGGTATATTCCTGTGAACCTGAACCGCGGGTGGGAATCGGTTGGAACGAATAGAGCTGTGAGTAGGCAAATCATATCTCTGAGCCTGGAAGCAGCGCCAGCGTGATTGCGCGAGCAGGCCGAGATCCTGAGCGTAAGGCCTGGTGCCACCAATGGAGGTTCAGTTATCAGAGATCTGTGCAAGGGTCTGCACTCGTGTCGTCCAGAAGCGCGCCGCGCCGCGTCTTGAGTCTCTCCAAGAGTGGCCCACTCTCGGTCGAGGCCGTGAGGCAGAAGCGGCGACGAGGTCGAGCGTATCGCGTGGAGACGTAGGCTATTTGCCACGTCATCGTCAAGTAGCCTGCCGCAAAATGTCTGGTGTCTTGATGCGTGACCCGATTATGAAGGTCGACCAGGAACCCTGGGATGCCATGTCGTCGCGTTGCTGACACAGACATAGGGCCCACGACTGTGGGGGGGGGGGGGGGATCAACCACGTCACGCGAGGGCGTTTTGTGGCGCTCGCACGCCTTAAGCCTCCGGGGACGTCGAGCGACGCTGCAGCCGACTATATGCTCACGCTGTCTATTCTTGAAGAATCGACCCTACTAACGCATGACGCGCAGACAAACGCACCTTAACATATCCTTGATGAAATGAGGGCAAGTGGCCGGAGGACCAAATCTTCAGGCCGGTCGCGGACGAACCTCAAGGGAGTCACACAGAATGTGTGCTGGGAATCTCTGAGAAGAGCTCTCTCGACAAGGACCATGATGCGGGTAAACGACGACATGACCCAACGTCCGCATTCCATTTATCATTCACAAGAGGTGCGGCAGGCCCTCGTACAGTGTCGAGGTCTTCAGCTTCCTGCAAGACAGCGACCGCGTCAAGCCATCATCGTCGAAATGATATCAGTATATGCATGAGGACTGAATCGCTGACCGCAAAATCGCCTCAAGGGTTGCCACGGAACGTCGTGCAGTACCTGAACGCATCGGCTAACAGAGAGATGTCGAAGGTGAATGTCATGTCGCGACAGACACGAGGAGCGCGGCAGCGCACATGCTATCACGGCGCGACCGCCCGCAGAATTGATGGTACGCGGTGAGAATCTGAACTGGGGACGTCAACGTGCGAGGCGATCGAGTACTGGGACACTCTGAGGCCGTGTTGCACCGTATCACTGGCTCTGTTGTCCCAGCAGGGGGTCCACTGAGTATCGCACAGACCCGAAGTCGAGCGAGGGAAACCGGTCGCGTTCCCTCCAGTCTTAAACTCTAACGACGGCAATCCTGTTATGCAAAGTCATAAGTCAGCGCCCCTTCTGTTCGTTGAAGGACACGCAGTCTGCCTGATGTGCGTGGGCGTGCAATCGCACGACTTCCACTGCGTCCGCGCGCCGACCGGTGAGAACGTGGTATCAACGCTTAATGCCTTGAGTCATTTACCAATTCGCATTGCCCCCCACTTTCAGCTAAACGGCTGAGAGCTGGACAGTGTGCTGTACTTGCGCACCAGGAATGTATAGGAACGCGCCTTCTCTTGTGCCACCCTGGAATCAAGTTAGTCGTGCACGCTGGTGTAGTTCACATGTACGGCCCGAGGAGAGCATAGCGTCCGAGAACGAAGAAGTTATTGAGCGCGTCAAGACAGAGGCTACACGAGAAGAACGCCAAGTCTCCATCGTTCACGCCGAGGGAGGCGCTGGCGTTGCCGCCGCTCCGGGCCAACCCCGATCTGATCCGCCTCGATCGCCAGCTTGGTGACGTCACGTTCCCGCCCATTGTCACGCTCAGCGCCCTCGTCTCTGCTCACGATGTTCCAGCTTTGCGACGTCCAGCTCCCCAGATCTACTCATCTATTGTAGTCGCGTACGTTCTTCGACTTCCGACTTCTATCGGGCTGCGGCAAAAAACCTAGGAATCGACCACATAGATATCAAGTAGACTGTAGTTCTGGCAGGTTGGCAGCATGGTCTGACTGCTTGCGCTTGCTACTCTGTGAGTCGTGGTGCCCGTGCTTCCGGGGTGAGTCCATGAGGTTCCGAAGTGCTCCAACGAGACTCGCGATTGTCTGTATGTTGCCCGAAATTTGCACTGCTTGATCCGGACTGCCCCCTCATAGTGACAGAGATCTCTGCTTCATCCTATCTGTTCCTATTTATTCCCGTACCACGTGTATCTGAGGCTCTTCTTAACGAGGTGATTAGGAGCGTTAATCCACCACTGGGCTATCTTATACTTCACGCTGTAGGTGTACGCATAATGCCCTGCTTGCTGCCTGAAACCCGACGTACGTCTATTAACCTGATTCCGGATGAGTGCGTAAGACTTACTATCCATTTTCACAGCCCATTATTTTGATATCTCGGCGAACGCGAACCTTCAATCTATCAAATTAGGTACTACCCCTTGGTCAAAACGGAGACCGCTTTTTCTCAGTGGAACGTTTTGGGACACGAAAGATATGGCCGAAAACGTTCGTGACGACACCAAGACCTATGCGAACTGTACTAGTTTCGTCGTTGAGTCTCTAAAAGCTGACTACAGTTTGCAAACACCGCGGACACTAATAGAGACTTTACGGTCAACTTCACCGTCGACCTTGGAGACTGGAGCATTAAATATTGACACATTTCCCATCGATTATACCGAACATGAAGTCAAGGGAACGCTGGCTAATGCAGTATAACACTGATCAACGACAACAATGGTATGCCCATTCATTTGCCTTGTTTTGATGTGTTCAAATGCTCGTTGTTTCTACGTAGACGATGATGGGGACACCGACATTCCTACTGTACGGAGGAATCTCGCTGAGCAAGTATGAAGCGAATACAGCCTCGCCACTGTCTTCAACCCGGGAATTGTTCTCTTGCGACCGTCATGCTGTGCACGCATTCCGACACCGGTATGTCCCCGCTCCTGGATTCTATCTCATCTCTATGGCTCCGGCTGCAGATTCTAAATGCTACATCACACTCGACGCATAATTGACTACATCACAATATGTGCGTCTTTGTACACCCCGTTCATTTCATCTGAGGCGGTCAGGCTTCTTATCTGAGGGGCGTCGCTCATGGACCTTGGGCGCCAGCCTGCTTGTGATCCTTCGAATTTGTTCGCCCAGTCGTTTTCAAGCGCCTTGAGCACGCGAGGAAAGTTTGTCCTCCATTCTGCTGAACACATGCTATTAGCCGCCCTGTCGGGCGAAAGTCGACGGACGCTGTGCATCGCTGCACATCGTGAGCCTAAGCAACTGCTATAAGGCGCTTCTACTTGGACGTATACACTCGCGGTGTAAAGTGCACGCGATGCCGCAGCTAGATTGTCCCGCAGCAGGCAAAGACATGCCTGATCGAGCATTAAAGTTTACCAGATTCTGCGCTCTCTGCGTGTAACATGATATACTGGCGGAACGACGCCGCGGTTCCCAGCACTGTACACTGCCTGACCACAAGATATTTGCTCGCGGTACTTCGTTTCGAAATAGGACAACCCTCGTATGAATGTCAGGCGGTTCGTAACGCACGGAGATGAACTCTGTGGGGAGTTCTAAGAGGAACGTGCTCGCAATGAGGCTATGCGGAGGTACGCACCTAGGAGGAAGGCAGTGCGCAGCTTGATCCTCGTTTGATCATCCAATTACAGAGGTTGGCTGTGCGAGGTACAAACCGAGACCATAATACATTTTCTTGTAGCATCGCAGCTCCACTCAACCGTTGTCACGCTCAGCTGCCCGTCTGTCCGCGCCGGTCGCAGCTTCTCTGCTCACGCTCGGGTTCTGTCCGACGCTGGCCGCGCTGATATTTGTCGCGGTGCACCGTGATTTCTACCACACGCACGGGGTTGATGGGATGGACATGAGGTCCCCTGTCATACTGACTGCAATTGAAGGCGTGTAGTTGAGAATGTGCGGAGACACCATGAAGCAGCTGCATGGCTACATAGAAGTGGTCTACCTTGATATGGGAGAATGGTAGCCTGATACATGCGGACAGATTCACAGCAGACGAAAATGTCTCGGATACAAAGTCTCTGACTTCCGCCGTATTGAGTATCGGATTGAACATGCATGGGGACCACGGGGAATATGCCCTCGAGCACCACAGCTCTTTCCCAGTCAAACTCTCGTACAAGACGGCGATGCAGGAGCCGCCACATATATACTGGTAGCTTGCTGGAGAGCATCACAGCGCACCTCCACTCAGTTTTCAGTCTTGTCTCAGCCGTCCCAGATCCCCTCCCCCCCGCCTGAGATAACGATCAAGGCGAAGCCTTCGAATACCTGAGATGGCAGAGATGTGGAGAGCACCTGGAATGCGAGTTTTGAGGAAGCCTATTATGATCATCGTGGTAAGGTCATGTGTCAGACTCATGCCGTTCAGGACTGAGACAGAATACAGCATACGAAAGGACCTTCCTTGCCTGCAGAAATCTGGCTGCAGGTCTTCGACGAGCTTGCGCGAAGGGGCGACCATGACGCAATACAAGTATGTGCCGCCGTGTGCAGGGTCTTTGCGGAGTGGAGTAAGCAATACATCGGTGGAACAACGTTCTGGTCGGCGTTCACGTTCAGGAACGGTGCAGAGGTTAGACGTGCCGTGGAATGTCTTCCAACGCAACGAAGGGCCTGAAGGTCTGGCTATTGAGAGCGCATTCGGTCTCTATTGTGGGAGGAGCTAATACAAGGAAGATCCCCCACAAAGCATCGTTTGCGTCGACGTTCGCAGGCAGATGGGCTCGGATAGGGACGCTGTTCATCGAGAAGGCGTCGTGGCCGTCGTCGCTATAGACCGCCGATGCTGCCGTCTTTCGAAATTTGTCCCGCTTCGCCTGGGTTATGCATCTCGCCTTGGACGACGTCACGTTTCCATCTATCGTCACGTTTGGCGCCCTCGTCTCTGCTCTGCCGGGCCTCAAAGAGCTCCAACTCTGCGATGTCAAGTTCGCCGAATCCTCCTTTCTGTTCGACTCTCGCACGCTTTCCAGATTCCGCCTCCTGCCACAAGCCAAGAACCTGAAGGAAATCCGTTTGGGTGCTATTGTAACTGACCGCCGCTTCAGGCCTGCGTTCACTCTCACTGCATGGTCGTGCTATACGGAGCTCCTTGATTTTATGGCTGCCGTGAGCAGGCCCTGTAACAGCTCCCCTTGCGTATATCCGTGGGGCTCGGTCGGCCGCTTGCAGCTCGAAGAATCCATCTGGTGGAGATTCTCTTTCTTCTCCATTGCTCGGCTCTTGCGTGCGCTCCCATCACTTGCGTCCCTCACGTTAAGATGCGCGGAAGACAGGTTCAAGGAGATGATAATTACAGGTGGCTCGCATATCCCAGGCTAAAACCAGTCGACATCGTCGTGGAATGCGGGACTTCTCAGTCTCAGCATGTTGCCGATATTGTTCGTTCCTTGATCAAGATGGACTATCCCCTCAGAATCACAAAGATCCACGCCGCTATATATTCTTTTCACGAGAGACTGATACGGTGGTCACCGCTACGAATGAATTGGTCAAGCATGCGGCACCATCACTCGAGCATCTTCATCTTTGCTTGAGGTTCCGCACAGCTGATCTTCTGGGACACTATCCGTACCTCAGATATCCTAAAGACCGATGTGAGCATCCTACTGTGAACTTGCGGTGTCAAGTATTTCGCATACAGCTAGACACCCCATCCGGTCGCGAATCAAGTACAAACCTCGGATTAATATCTTCAATCCCTGATCCCAAGGTGTTCTGGATCGGTGCGTGCAAGATGCTGTCTCACGTCACATCGACATGCATCTCTTCTGTCGACATCTGTATCCATTGGTTCTCATGGATCGATCGAGGAGAGTTGAGCGACATCCTTTGTCAATTGGATACCGTGCTTTCATCTCCTGTTTTTGACAACCTCGTGCACGTACGCATACGTGTGGAACTCGACGAGCCGTATGTACATCAGAAAAAGATGAAAGAGTGGGCGTATTCTATGAAGGCTTGCTTGCCTGATCTCGATAAACGAGAAATTATAGGGTGTGTATCGATTCACCCATGCGCTACTGACAATAACATGGTCCATATTGCTGATGTAGTCTTCTATAGGATTGAAGTATTTGCAGACCTCCCGATGCCCGATGTCAGGGTCGGATTAATTTGGGATTGTGACATCAAAGACTGGAGACGTTGCGTGAGAAAGGAAGCCAAAAGACGAAATGTAGAAATCGCCGAAGTTCCTGCTTTCGAGGGTGGAGCACCTTCTGGAGCAATAGCGGCGCACACGGGGCGGGAGCGATCGTCTCAGGTGGGTGCCTTGCACTGCATCATTCCACTGTCTATCTCATCGGCATACGTCTAAAGTGTCGTCGGGGATCTTTCCCAACCGAAACAGAGGCGGCGCAGCGGCATGGATACGTTCTTCTCAGGTGGGTGCCTTCCGATGCATCAGGTCATTCCCTATCCCATTCGCATACAGCTCGAGGATGACCAACAAATGATCCTAGAGTGAGTTCATTGCGATGCAACCGGATGCTCGTGTGGTCGTGCGTATCCGTGCACACGAAGTGGATGGGCGAGACGCCAGCGGCATTCAAGGTGTAGGTGTTCAGGCCAGGTGCCGTCTGTTTTATGATATTGCTGTTTCGGTCGGACTTCCACACATGTCCTGTCGTATCGTAAATTCACATTTGGACTTCTGAGACATCGTCCTCATGGCTATACACGCAGCAGAAGTAGTTCAGTATTATTTCGAATCGGACAACGAATAAATACGTTCTGGGGCACGCACATAATCGACACTTTAGTACCGTATGATACGCTAGTCGGACCACAGCGGGTAGTGCACAACAAAACGTATTTATACGCAAAGGGGAATGTTGGGTGCGCATCGTTCACTTTGTCAGTAGAGCCGTTGGCATTGGCGGTTGTGATCCGGCGCCAGAAGCTCCGTTCTAATGGCTGCATGTGATGAAGCGACCAATGGTCGCGCGAGACGTATATGCTGAGCGGCCACGCATCTTGCTGGATCGCTCGAGATGTCTCGCAGCGCTGCATGAGCCGCAATATACGGGGCATATCTCTGCGGACCTAAACCGTGGGTGGAAATCAGCTGAACGGACAGAGTTGTGAGTACTTCAATCATATCTCCGAGTCTGAAAGCAGCAAACTCGTGCGCACATTTTAAGATCCCTTCGATACATTATTAGCTTGCGAACACTGGTAGTGGTCGAGGGACGATCCCGACGGTCGCGCATGCGGGTTCGTAATGCTGTTGCGCTTCCCGACTCACCGCCCTTGCCCTTTTCACTGTGGTTGTATTTCGGGAGCCTGATAAACTGTTTCAGTGGGGACTTCTTGGAAACATGATTAGTTTATTCAGGGATCACAAGAAACGTAGAGGCGCGCACTCGCAGTGATAATGTTCACTAATCTTCTGCCTCCCGCGGGATTCGGCAAGACCCGCGTGGACAGGATAGTCTGGACGTCCGATGTGGAAAACCTATAACGGCATACATCAGGGTTAGCATGACATATAACTGGTGAGCGGATGTGCAGTACCTATCGCGCAGGTCTTGCATACGCCGCGACTACGACCTCTCGCGTGGACGCCTGGACTGGGGCTCCACCGTTGACGAAAGGTCCGATGGCTGCGTCGCGCAAGAACAAGTCGCTATAGACATCGTGTCGCCGACGCGTGCTGAGCGTCGAGCGTCGAGCGCTGTGTCGACTTGCAGCAACTTAGAAAGGTGGATCAGAAATGCTCGGACTGATAGACTGTGGCAGCATTGAGAGCGGAAAACGTGTTACTGTACCTGAAAGCCGCGTCCACGAGTCAGCCTGCAGATGACGCTGATCCAGTCTCGTCTGGAATTCGTCCTAATGAGGGAATCCGGGCGGCATTGAGCGATAAGTGCCAAGTAGTTTCTACTTTCAACGGTCAGGGTGGGGCAGCGGTTAAGCCTCCTGATGAGACCCATCGCGTGGGCGAAACCTGTCCAACTGGCCACCAGTTCGACTCTCATCAAGTACACTTTACCCTTTATCTTCGGAGACAGGGCACTGAGTCCCAATGCCGGACCGGGACGTACAGAAAGGGGAACGGAAAAATCCTAGCGGTCGAGGTGACTCGGCTGCCAAGGTCCGCTTCGTTCGGGGAACTGGGGGCAATCTCCGAGCGGACACACCCAACTGCGTACTTGGCTGCTGTGCAGTCAACTCATTGTGCGCTCGATTGGACACTGGTGCCTCCTGAGGACCCACCCCAGGCAGGACCTGTCAACGTCAAGAAGACCCCCTTAGGGGTGGTGCGAAATGGGTCTGAGGGGATCCCCTCCACTGTAACCCAAATAGGATATAGGGGCATCCCATCGCCATCTAGGTGCCCTCGTCGCCACCATCCTGAGATGGTACGCAGATGGTACGCCGACCCTACTCCATGAGGCTTCAAGTCCTTTGCATCACATGTTATGTCTCTAACATCCTCTGATACAACGGTCTATACTCCTATACCGATGCCTGACTCGTAGACAACGAGCGAGGACTTATGGACAGTACGTCGTCCTGAAGATCAAGCGAGGAAGTCGAGAATGACCACTGCCCCAAGCGAAGAGGAGCAGAGACTTGAATGAATAACCAGGTCGAACTTAGAGTTCGACCAACTAATGGTACAACTACTTATACAAGTACCGACTACGCACGGACCATTGTGTCTATGTGGTCGTGTTAGTGAAGAAAGAAATGTAGTGGTACAATGCCGAGTACGAAGTGCGCACGGACCCCATTATGTAAGCTACATAATGTTCAACCTGCGGGTGAGCGCTAAGACAGGCGCCAGTATGGGCGCTAGTAGTACAAGGAATAGAACAGAAAGACAAATGTTTCATCCTCCCCTAGAATGGCATTTGTTGCCTGTCTTGATGGGAGTGCACATTCGCTCCTTTTACTAGTACTTAGTAATTTATGTACATCACACCTGTAGTACACGATAATCACTCTCAATATCATTGTTTTTACTACGAAGTACTTTACACAAGAGCAGGATGAGGGCCTGGGTAGCGAGTACATTGTACACAAGATTGACAATACATCATGATGGTACCTGCGAAATGCATCAAGCCTGCATGGAGGGCCCGGCGTCGCCTCGTTGCTCGCCTTCGTCGTGGCTCTGCACGCCGGCTGTCTGTGCGCCGGCTGTCCCAGGCATCCTACGAGCAGGCGGGGCAGCCGCCTCGAAGCCGGCATATGGCATGCCTTGAGGCACGTCGGCGAATGCAGCTGCCTGGCCGAAATCCTCGTAGAAATGTGGGTGGACCCTCCCCGATGGGATGTAGGTGCCGTCGGGCGTCATGAGGCCGGGCGCGCGGAATTCGGGTGCGCGGAACTGAGGGGGCAGTGGGTGGTAATAGTGTCCTGCATCCCGTGGGTCCATCACCTCGTAGCTGTCCAGAGTCTGGCTGTCGACTGGCCAGCCGCGCGGTGCATACCGGGGGGCATGCGGGAGGGTTGGCCGCGGGCGCGGTGTGTATCCCGGTGGTGCGTATCCCGGTGGCGCGTCGTGCGCGTGTGCGAAGGGCGCCGGTGGAGGGAACATCCAATGGCCTAGCATGCCGCTAGCCCCAGCGGTGCTTGTGCTATTGCCGTCCTCGTCGTCATAGACTGCCAGCCGCTGGTGCAGGAGGGAGGGCGGGAGGGCAGCTGTGCCGCTGGATGGCGCTGGCGCGTGCACACGCTTGCTGCGTCCCTCCTGTGGGCGGTGGAGCTCGGCCGGGGCGTCCTTGTCACGCTGGGCGGGAGCCTCCTGGTGATGCTCTTGGTCATGGGTGCCCTCCGTGGGGGCGCCTTCTGTGGTGGCAGGGCGATGGCGGCGCTTGGGGGGCGCGTGCTCTGGCGAGCTTTCATCCTCATGCAGATGCCGGGCGGGGCGCTGACGCTGGGCAGGAGCTTCTGTGGACACGTCGCACTGCTCATTTGTGGTGGTATCCATAGCCCCGCCGCGCGTTCGGGCCCCTGCATGCACCGGGTGTGGTGCGGGGTGTTTGGCTGTCTGTGCCCTGGGCTTTTCGGGCATGCGAGGGGTCGACTGCTGCTCGACATCGCTCCTGCCCGCGCTCGCCTTACTCCGCTTGGTGCTCCGTGCAGGGGCCTTGCCTTTGCTGGGACCCTTGCCCTTGCTTGGCTCCTTCTTGGTGCCGTCCTCGGGCTCATCCTCGGTGTCGGACCCGTTGCGGAGCGCCTTCCGCTTGGCCCCTCGTGGCTTCACCGGGGTGGGGGTCCCCTCCGAAGGCTGGTAGGCGTCCTCATCCTCGGAGTCCTCGGAGTCCTCGACGTTGATGGCTTTCTGCTTGTCCGCTCGCGGCTTCACCGGGGCGTCGTCGTCCTTGCTGTCGTCCACGTCGATCGGCTTGGATGCGGTGGTTGGCTGGCTCGTCCTCGACTTGCGGATCACGACCTCGACGACCCTCGACCTCGTTAGAGAGGCCTTGGGCGGAGGCGCCTGCACGGGTGACAATGCCGCCGAGGCCGTGTCCTTGCTCAGCTCATCGGTATCCGGCGACGAGCTCTCACCGTGCTCTCCTGACGAGGCAGGCGCCTCACGCCTCGGGGGTCCCTTGCGGTCGCTTGTCCCGTTGGCGAAGTAGTGGCGCGCCCGCTTGAACGTGGCGTCGTGTGCCGGGGGTGTGCAGATGATGACCGGCAGCTTGTTCTTCTTCAGGGCTATGTAGGAAAGCAATCAGTGCACTGGCGGCGACAGGGAGCAGAACACGTAGATACTCACCTTCCTTGTCGACCCTCTCGAACTCGAAAGGGTAGTCCCTGTCCACCAGGCCCTCGATCATTTGGTCGAGTTCCGGCATGGACAGCTCCGCGATCCCTTTGGCCTTGTTGCGGCCACCGGTTTTTTCCTCGCCTGGCCAGCGCACGTCATCAGGGTAGTTCTTCCACACGAGCCCTTGAGTAACCAAGAGCTCGGCATGGTGGTTCCAAGGGAACAGGTTGTTATACTTGCGCTCCCAAGGGCCACCGGCGGCCACTGGCTGATCGTCAGTGTGACGCCACTTCACTGAGAGGTGAGTTGCTTACCTTCCATCTCCCTCACGTTGAACCTGATGACGCCTGCCTTGTCTGTCGACGAGAGCTTCTTCCTCCAATCCGGGTGCAGGAACTCGAGGCCGAACTTGCGCCTGTCTAAGTCCTTTTGTGACTTGATGGTGCCCTCGTTGGAGGACGCGCCAGCCTGCTTCGATGGTCCTGGGACCTGCGTGGATGCCTTGGATGGTCCAGCGGCCTGCTCGGATGGTCCGGGGTGTTGTTTTGAAGGTGCGCCGCCTTGCTGGCATGATGCTGCAATGGCGGGGCCGCTGGGCTTGCTCGGTCCACCCATGTCCTCGTCGCCGTTCTCGCTCGCCTCGTTGAGGATGCCCATGGATGTTTGATGACTGCGCCATGTAAAACATGAGCTCCATGTTGCGTTGTAGATATACATAAACACTCACTATAAATAAGATTTGAAGTGTGCGAGGGATGTGTCTTCGTTGCCCCGCAGATAGGTGCTCAGAAACTGGGAAATTATATAGTCAGTAAAGCACCCAATGTAACCAGCGGGAACTTACATTTTTTGCCGTCGCAGTCTCATAGAGCTGCGCCAGGCCCGTGTCCGTATTGACGAGATTGCCTGCCATCAGGAATGCTGTGGAGAAGTTGTATCACAGCGCGAGGTTGTCGCACTGAGGGGGTGGTTAGTGGGCTGCGCGACACTCATGATGTAGGCACTTACGAGCTGCCTCATCTTGGCGACTGCCTTTGCAAAGTCGCGCTTGCGCTGGCCGACAGTGTGATTCGCCGCCCACACTTCGACCTCCTCGAAGGTCTCGAGGATGTCGCGCCAGATGTCGGTGTGCGCTTCTTTGAATAGCGCGTACGTCTTGGAGCGGATTTCGACGGTATCTGCCAAAGGAGCATCTGTGCGAGGCTCGCATTAGTATCTGTTTAGGGATGCAAAGTCCCTGTACTTACCTAGGCCGAGACGCTTGCATTCTTGCACCTGGTTCATCTTGAAGTAGCGGCCGTGGATGTTCCAGTGGTTGCGGGCGGTGTTCACGCGGGCGTGTTGTTGTCCGAACATCGCCTGGACACGCACCGCTGGCAGCCCAGAGTCCTTGCTGACTTGCTCCACGATGGTATTCATCTTGGCAAACCCTGTCCACAGGATCTGGCGCACGTCGTCCGAGAGTCGCCCTGGGGTGCCGAACACGTCGTCGTCGGCTTGCTCTTGTAGGGCTTGCTCTTCAGCCTCTGCGGCCTCTTCATACGACATGCCAGGCACCTCATCCCACTCCGGGCTGCCATCGTGGGAGGTGTCATGCACCACATTGTCGCCAGACTCATCCATAGGGGAACCGGCAGCATTTGCCGCTGCATTGTCCGCGGTGCCCGCTTGCTGCGCGCTAGGCACATCCGTGGATGGGTCCTCCTGCGTACTCGTCGCCTTGGGTGTGGGCTCGAGGGCCCTCTTGGAGGGCTGGCTGTCGCTAGGAGGGGGTGTTAAGGGTCTGCGAGGAAGGGCTTGCCGTTGTGGAAGTAGGGGCTGGGGATCCGCCACCTGGAGGACGGTCCAGCCCGGCATGTCACTTGGACCGGGGGGGGCTAAGGCGCTTTTGTAGCGCAGAGGGTCAGCGGGATCGGTGGGATGGATATGCGACACGTTGGAGGACGCTCGCGAGCGCGGGGCTGTAGGTGCGACTCGCGAGGATGTTGATGCCACTTTGGAGGGAGGTGCAAGGGGCTCTGCGGAGGGTCCTGCGAGGTCTGCATGTGAGACACTGGATGGGGCTCGCGAGCGCAGCGGCGCCGCCAGGTTCTGGTACGGAGACGGGTGGTAGTACATGTTCAGGTTGTGGGGGTCGAGTCCGGCAGCACCGTAATGGGTGGGGGCAAAGGGTGCTGCGTGGTATGGGTACAGCAGCATGTCTTCACGTAGTGTGCGTGGTGCTGGCACATAGTGCATGGGCTGGGAGCCTCCTGCATGCGCGATGGACCCTCCGGGTTGGGCGGGAGGCTCGGAGGACGTTGGGGTGGAAGAGGGATTCTCTTGCTCACCGCGGATGGTTGCGGCAGGGGCGCACTCCTCTTGCACTTGGGGTGTAGTGTTCCGCAACTCCATAGAATGGAGGCCGGTGGTTTCGGGAGCGGCAGCCATCGCATCGCCCTCGCGCTCGGGGTTTGGGGGCGGCATGAGCTGCGCGCGGCGTGCCTGGGCCCTGTGGCTGATGCTGGTGCTTTTACCAGTCGGTTTGATTACCGTGCGCAGGCGAGTCGGGGTGGTCGGGGCAGTGTCCGTGTCTCGTGCCTCGCAAGAGCGTTGTTCACGCGGTGTGGCCTCCTCATCTGCGTCTTCGCGCAATGACCGCGCTCCAGGCGGTGTGCTGGTCTTCACGCGCTGTCGCATCTGAGGTGGGGTTTGATTAGTATGAGACGCATGGAGCGCGGTGTGCCGCTGTATGACATTGGATACTCACCTGAATGAAGTATCCCAGTTCTCCAATGTCCTCTGAACGCGTCGGCACTTCCTCCTGCTTGATCACGATCTGTGGGACCTCTGGCCTGGGCAGCGATGGTGAGATTGGGTGTCGTGCGCGGTGTTGCAAAGCCTCTTGGAGATGGTCTAAGGGAGTTCGGAAAGGGCGAGAGAGTCGGGGTAGATTGGGCGTGGGAGCAAGAAAAAAGGAGGCGGCAGTAGGTGGAGAGACACGGCGGGAGGAATTAGATGGTTGCCCAGGATCAGGTGGGAGCATGGGCGTGAATGCGATGAGGATCACGAGGAGAAAGAGGGAGGGCCATGGCGTTGAACGAGCTCTAGAGGACGTCGAAGAGGACGGTAGAGGACAGAACGGAAGCGTGTGACCCGATTTGGATGGCTTGGGCCTCATGCAGGGATCAGCGAATTGATATCCAGTCGCCTGCTTCCTCGGTGTTACCCCATTTGGTATGCCTGGGAAGCATGCGCCCAGCTGCTTGGTTCCTCTGACTCCCTCACTGCTGTTCCCCGCTCGCATCCCTCTGACTCCCTCGGCGCAGTTCCCCGCTCACATCACTTCAACCCTCGCCGCCCCAGCGAGTGAAGGCTTCCGGCGGGATCGCAAAGGCGAGGGTTGAGGCCAGCTTCAACTCCGGGCATGTCACCAATGACATGCGTCGGGAGGTGATCCGCCATCAGAATAGCGGATGGTACCGCCGGCTCACCCTGAGGGCACGTGCGGCCCGTCAACTATGACGGTCAGCACCCCCAGTCCGCCCATTGCCTCAAGCGTGCGCCATTTAGGGAAATAGTTTTGGGCGGCCCCTCGGGCTCGATATGGTCTGGCCGAGGGTCTCTCGCTTCTCCGTGAGGTAAATGGGGTAACATCCGAAGTTAATAGTGTTATGATACATCGTTGCAAGATGAGTGGCGCTAGTGTAGTACTCTGTGTCGTAGCAGAAATAGCAGCACACCTTAGACATTATCAATGTGATTGTAGTTATTTTGTCGTCAAGCGTACAGCGATGTCAAAAACAATGTGTACACCGACATCTATTAATCGAACGTTCATCGGGCGCCGACATGCCGCGGTCAGCATTCGGCCATCTGCCTCATGCCGCCCGGCTTGCCTTTCCAGATGGCCCTGCCGGTGCGTATGGCCACTGTGGCCACACGGCAGGCGGCCCAAGTGCCAAGCGGTCCTGCGGCATAACCGCGTGCCATTTAGGACAATGGTCTCAGGCAGCCCCTCGGGCTCGATTTGGTCTGCTCGAGGGTGCCCTGAGCGATCTGCGCTGCTCCTAGGCGCCCGTGTGGCGCTCCTCAGAGATCAGTCCCCCTCGGAGATCAGTGCCGGCCCCCAGTCCTTCTGGGCGGCCGTGGCCTCCTGCAAAAGCTAGTTGTAAGAGTCCAATGTGAGCAAGCTCACCAAGCTCACATTGGACTCTTACGTGTATACGACCTGCGTGCGAGCCCAAGGATCCCTGCCCAGGACCGCAGGATGATCCGATTACTACGGACCATTGATGGTTCTTCGGCCTTGATTTAGTATGGTCAAGGTTCGTGACAGGGATCTGCACTGGCGTTAGGTGCCCATACATTGAGCGCTCCTCGGTGCTCGCTATGATGCTCCTCGGTGATCGGTACCTGGTGCTGCAGCCAATCCCCGTGCGAATAAGGGTCCACTGATCGAGCTGCAGGACGGTCGAAAACATACTTGCAAGTCATATACAGGCTGTTTTTGAGCTCGCAATGCCTCCAATTTTGCGCACTTTGCTCGCCAACGGGCTTGCACATCGCCTGGGTACATTTGGACACCAGCGGCATTCTGAAAGGCTCTGGGCAAAGCATAAGATGCACGGTCTAACCCTTGGGGCAGACTAGATTCTCATAGGGCTCCTTGTACGCTTTACTGCCACCATGGGCAGAGGCGCCAAATACTTCACTGCCGCAGACAAGACCTTTGCCACCAAAAGGCGCAAACAGGCTCATGCAGCTACTCCAAGGTATAGCTACTAACCCCCGCCCTATCCCTTGCTAACCAAGCGTGCAGCATCAAGGCCAGCCGAAGGGCTCAGAACCGGCGTGCATATCTGCATCGCCAGCGTACGTTCATGTTTCAATGACGCCGGGTTACATTGCTAAAGACCACCCCTCAGTTGAGGGCTCTCTAATACCCTCTCAGGTCCACCCTCTGAGGCCCACAGACCATCATGACATCCCCCCCGATGTCCTCACGGACGCGCACCTGCCCCTCCGCTCTCACCCGCTGCTCCTCAAGGCGCTATGCAATACGCCCCTCGACTTCAACCCTGCTAATGCCACGGCAAAGCAGATGGAGGCCGTCCTGCGTGGGCAGGCCTGGCGAACGTTGCACGACGAACGGGATCGTCGTATACGCTTGTGGAACGAAGGGAGGTTGGACGAATTGCGAGGGTTGATAGAGCAACACCTCGCCGATGCGCGGGAGCATCGGCAGGTTGCTCACGCCCAGTGGGAGGAGGCTGCCGCGGAGGGTGTGGACGATGACAATCGCGCACAAATTGTGACGTCGACCCGGGCGGAGTTCGCGGCTAAGGAGGTATTTTGCGACCTGTG